TGAGAAAAAACAAAAAAAAACTTCAACCGGGCTGATGGCTATAGACGGAGATCTACTTGTTAACACAATGTTGATAATGGTCATTATGATTTAATTCATTATATAGATTCATTATATCAGTAAAGTGCTGTAGCCGTTTCGGTAAAAAATCAATGGATCATTTAATTTCAAGAATGTAACGTTCAATCCACCTTCATCACTAAATCCTCATTGATAATCTAGTTTAAGTAATCTAGTTTAAATAATCAGATTTAATCATTAAAATAAATAATTTGATAGTCAATAAATCTAGCTTTTTAAGTGAAAGTAATCCATTGAATTACAATAATGTTAACTACTAACAACCTAATTAACCTTACTCAAATATTAAAAGAAATAAACTCACGTGTTTCACCTAATACAATTGTAGTGACATCTCGGGATGTCACTGTACAGTGCCGGCCCTACAGAGGCATGGCGTGCGGTGTAAAGACATGGCAGACACCACTATGATGTGGGTGTAGTACCGGCCCTAGAGGGCTCGGTCAGGGCTGAATGATAGCGCTGGATGGCATCACGCTTGGCGTGCAGTGCCAGCCCTAGAGGATCAGGTGCTGGCCGTAGGGAAGGGGTTACTGAGGACCATGCACTCTGGTTGACCCGAGAGGACACGTGACTGGTTAAGTCTACAAAGGGGCCCCAAGTGGAGGTCTAGGGGTGGTCACGTGGTCCGGGTCGAGATCCTGCTAGAGGGTTCTGGAAGGTGGTCGTGGCTAAGGGCGGAGCCAGCCACGCCACAGAGAATATAAGCCGGGTCCCCCAGAGGGGCCGGCGTTGTTGTTCATCCTGAAGAAACCTTCGTCTACGTTCTACGTCCTACAGAGTCTCCAACACGTGGACCTGGACCCGAGCTGTGGTCCCGGTCCGTCGTAGCTAGTGACGTTGTAATTAGTGTAGTTAGCCTGGTGGTTACCACCATAAGTTGTTATTCTGTTAAGGGGTAGTGACTCCGTGTGTTGGTGTTAAATAAACGTGTTGCCTCCAAGAGCATGTCTGTGACTCAGTTGAACCTACTACACAATTATTCTATGAATGGTACCTTATTATAAATTACATTTGGATTTTATAAAGTTGTAAGATTTACTTTCACGAATATCATGCATTATAACGAACACTATAACCTTAATACAATTAACAATAGCTTATTTATACAAATAGTGAAATAGCTTTACCTTGTTACACTATTTAACCCCGTGAATTACAACCAATCAGTTAGCAAACAATTATAATTATTAAAGCCATTTCACCTGCATGGCTGTGATTAGGGGCTGAGCCAGGATTTTCAGCCCGGGGTGACATTCAACAAATATTAATTTCAAGAATGATTAGAGAGTCAGGCTGTTGAACTAGACGCCATCGGTTGGCGACACACCCTGACAATGCAGTTGCACGGAGTCCGCCAGGCCGAGTGTCGTACACTTATACGCAGAATGTTTCAGATTTTCGATTTTTTTTCGGGGGTGACAATTGTCTACCCTGTCACCCCCTGGCTCCGCCCCTGGCTGTGATGAGGACGTCATGATACCTACTTAAGGACCCAGATTATGATGCACATTCACTGGGGATATGAGTTCTTTCTGAGCTCTTTAGTGATGATGCTGGTTGCAATTTTCAGCGAAGCGTCGTACAAAATTGTCAAAATTTTGCTTGCTTTTCAAAGTGCCCATTTGCAACAAATAAAACAATCAAGTAGCACATTTTCCCACGTGACCACTTGATTTTTGTTGGCTTCGTCGGTTGGTGGAGGGTGCATAGCTCCAATATAAATGTTACACCTACACGATCTTGAATCATAATATTGATCGTGAACACCTGCGGGTATGAAGTTACACCCACATGTATTTAAGTCAATTAGATTGATGTCTTTTATTTGCAGTTGTCCCGTAATTCAGGCCACCACATTTCTGGGAAGGCTCAACTGGGACGTCTCAGCCCCGCCCACTTTTGCATAGCCACGGCCGCTCAACCACAGGCCCCAACTCAGTAAATATACAACATTGGATCAACGTTGGGCCAGCGGGTTTTAGCCCGTACTGAACTTGGGTCAATTCTCTGCATGTTTACCGGGTGGTCTCTCTCGAGACTCTGAGCACGCCCACCGCTCATTAGGCCCCGCCCACTGCTCATAGGCTCCGCCCACTACGCTGCCAACCCCGCTCACTGCTCAGGGGCATCTCCCCCCCCCCTCCCCCGTCCTTTGCCAGATAACGAATCGAGAATGAAGCGATAAAAGTTATAAACTTGTCGACACCACGATTTTGACAATATTAAACACAGTATTTGGTGATGATTCTGTGTTGGCAGTGATGCACAAGTACATGGTGGTCCAGATGTCTTGCGACCCCCATTTAATTCCCTAAAATAAAAAAGTGAAAGTAAGGTTGATTAAAAAACAAAAATGAAAATGCAAAGAGGATTTTTTTTAAAGAGGTCAATTAATTGGGGTTCACAAGATATCTGCAACCGCCCTGTACAATAAACAAAAATCGACACATTTGTCAATAACACTGGTATTAAAAGAACATATAATCGGTGACGTTTCAGGCAATGGTCCTCCTTCATAGCACTCGGAATTGGAACATATCTTGGCCTTCGTAATTTTGATAATTGCATAATTCGGTTGGTACTCGGACCCCAGGACTGCGCACCCCCTCCCAAAGCGGGATGTGTGTTACTGCCTCTCAACTTTAGTTCACGCATGCTCCTTCTCCGTACTCTGCGCACTTTTGAACATTGGGCCAAGTTGTCAATGCCCATGTTTGTGTTTAAAATATATAAATCAAGTACATAGCGTGCCCTGATTAATGGTGACTAAATAAATCAATCTAAAATGTTTTGTGCCAATTATGCCTTTAAAAAAAGTTAGGCATCAGTATCGGAGCATAGAGCAATGGGAATGAAAAACTGAATCTTCGATTCTGCCACGCACGATTCGCTACGTGCCTTAAGACTGAAATAATCGATCGACTTTAATATCGGTTACTTGTTCTATCACCACTGAAATAATCGATCGACTTTAATATCGGTTACTTGTCCGATCACCATTCAAACGCAGCATCACTCCTGGGCCCATTCCATATAAACTACGGTATTCTTTATAGTAATAGGTTTTACCCTTTTAACTGGCACAAAAAAACTGACACCTTCATTCAAGGCATCATGTTTGCAATAACCACAACACATACGGTATTCTTTCTTCATATGCGTATGGCTGATGTATATGCAACTTCTTTTGCACCGTACGCAGTCAACCACGCCAATTGGAGGTGCGTGGGAAGGACGGCAAACTAACCAACCTACACGTGGATGCAGACCAACAACTCAAATTTCACACTGAGGTGTCAGGAACAGCGGAGTGTACGGCTGTGATGTCTTCTTCGTCGTCGTCGATCGGGTATTGTGTCGTGAACTGTTGTTTTGGTCCGTTCTGGGTGACCACAGTCGCAGCACACTGGAGGGGTTTTTAATTTTTTCCATCTGGGCATCAGGTATCCGAATTTAACATGGTTCGTGGAAGATCAAAACCGGGGGGGGATCTTCTGCGAATACGTTATAAGGTCGCACCCGTTACACACGAAGTGATCGCCACAAGTGAGCCACAATGCCTTGCTGATCTCGTCAAAGAGCATAAGGGGCCGTCCATAAATGACGTCACGCGATTTTTGACCCCCTCCCCCCACGTCGTCACACGGCGTCACAAAAGTCAGACCCCCCCCCTCAAATATGACGTCACAAAGCTCTGCCCCCCCCCCCAAAAAAAAAATATAAAACATGCTTCAAATCGCTTTAAACTAGTGTCATTGTAGTGCGTATTTAATGTGGCGCTGCACTCTGATGTTGTAGGAGAAAACATTTATTAAAAAAGTCTATTTAATTAAGTAGAACGTGTTGTCCATATGTATTTAAAGTGGGTGTCTGGAATTGATTTTGATTTGAAACACAGCAGAACGAATTATTCTGCCGTAGCTGATCACTATTGGAAGTTCAGTTCAATTTATTTTGGTATAGCCCTGTGAGCCGTACGGCTCTTGAATCGGGTGCAACCACAACAAACAGAAAAACAAAAACACGAACAAGAAAAACATCTTCAAATGACTATGTGATTGTGCAAACAGAAAATCCATGGAAAAAAACAGCAAAAATATTCCTGAAAAAAGCACCGTACACCAACGCTGTGTGCAAAAAATCCCAGTGGGATGCAAGTCAAACAACAACAACAACAAAAACTTAGATTCAAGCCATCAGTCTAACCCCGTACTACAACAAAACAAACATGTCCAAACCAAAAAACTTTTCCAAATCACCAAAAAATAAAGCCATAATTTCAACGTAACAGTGATCACAAGGACTGTGACCGAATTTTTACAATAAACTACATAAATAACATGTAACACCAAACCCTAGAGCCATAGCTGGCTGCATGAGTTACTCCACAACAACGGAAGCATTGGTCGGATTATCAAATTTTTCAATGCACCTTTAAGATCAGCACGCTAAATCAAACTACAGATAATACTTTGCAGCGTCATCCGGAGCGAAACATTTTATTTTATTTTAGGCCACTGAATAGCAGTGGCAGCTAGGGGTGTACAACTCCTCTAGAGCAGTTGTGACAGAAGATCTCATTGGTAGCGATTCAAGTTGCAGTTTATTGGCAATAGCATTCCAGACTCTGGGGGCATCAATAGCAAAGTCCCTTCCTCCAGTTTTTGTACGGCAATAGGGAAAGTCACCAGTTAATGAAGACGAACGAGTATAAGTATATTACGTAGGGGTGGGGGATCCTCCACCCCCACGTAAGATGGCCGCCAAATGTCTTCTACTTCTTCCCCCCCCATGCTGGTGGGGGGTGGGGGGAAGACTCACCCCCCCACCCACCGAGCCCTCCACGCCGAACACTGCCCCCCTCCCCTCCCCCGCGCGTCGCCCCTCGACGACGTCACTCGCGCACGGCCACAGTCTCCCCAGGCAAGATGGCCGCCGCAGCTTCACTCGTCCCTCCGGAGATGGTGAAGTGAGGGACACCCTTCAGTGGTGTGTGGACTTCTCCAGACGAGCTCTTAAACACGCTCCACGGTTCAGGCAAACCCGCCTCAAAAGGCTCGCTACAACGCGGCTGCCCTGTGGGACCAGCGTACCCTCGGTAATGTACCATATTAAAAATAGAAAATCACGCTGCCGCTTATTGAGGTACACACGGACGCGAAAAGTGGCCGCGATTTCGGGGTAGGCCTTGCGCCCAAGCAAGTGGATTAACCACGGTTCATAACAACAACAACAAGGCCCGTTGCTATTTGCTGTGTACGATAGTACTCTCGAACACAGCAGCAGCAGATGGATGTTAAGTTTCTTCATCCACGGTAATTCCTGGTACACTTCAATTGTGTTGCGACCCTCGCTTGCGTCTTGTCACGAGACGCTGCATTAACTTTAAGAGAGGCCAGCGGCACGTGGATTTCATGCAGCCTGGATTGGGATTGTCGTATTGGTGTGCGATGTTGAGAGGTCGCTGTTTCACGTTGCCGGTTCAATGTTTTGAGTTGACTGTACGAAGTTATTTCGCACCGTACGTAACTCGCCGTGCTAATCGGTTGGCTACGTCGCGGACGGCGGCTAAAATTACTCTTTGGGGGTTTTTTCGGTAAAGTCACGTAGAAATAATAATTTTAAAAAATGAAAATTATCTAATAGCATACGACGTTTCGATTGCAACACGAGCAATCATCAGGTGCTGAATTAACACAGACACATCAAGGGACACAGAGAGAGGCGGAGGAGCACACTAAATCAAACAGGGGTTTAGCAAAAATTATGAAACTATATAAAGCAACACAGGCGGTCGGTTAAAACACAATTAACGCATGGTCTGGTTGATTACGCTATTTCGAAGATTGCTAAGTTGTAAGTTAAGTGTGAAATTTAAGAGAAGTGATAGAACACAGATCGCAAAGAGACATGTGGTGAGAGACACGCACACAGTGCATCAATGTGCCTAAGCCTTACATAGAAACGGCGGAGCTGGGACTCTGTGTCCCCTGATGTGTCTGTGTTAATTCTGTACCTGATGATGATTGCTTGTGTTGCAATCGAAACGTCGTATGCTATTGTATAATTTTATTTGTTTATTATTTCTACGTGACTTTACCGAAAAAAAAACAAAGAGTAATTCCTGCAGTCGCGAAAGCACCTAATCAAGTTCGGCGGCTGAATTGTTAACATTTTGAACATTAGGTACGAAAATGTTTTGCGAATGTTATTTCATATTGGTGTGCTGCGGATACTATACATGGAAGCTACATAGTGGAGTTGAAAACTAATTCAGTTTGAGTTAATTTGATGTGCTACACGGATGACCCCGCTCATAAAGTTCCCTGGCTATTCTACAAGTGAGATCTGTGGTGCGTGAGTTCAGCAGCAATACAAGCATCAAGGTTGGCGGACGAGTGCAGGGTCCTTAAATAATATTGCACAAGTAGAATGGTAATTAATGGTACAGCCGTGTAACGTCTTGCTAACGCTTCTGTTGTATATAATGAAGACGATGTGCCGTAAACAAATCATGTTTTTGTATGTTCCAGATTGAAATATTAAACTTTCAAAATGCCCAAGCGCAGAGCCCTTTCATCTCCCAACGTTCCATTAGAGAAAAAAATACCAAGAATAAACAATGATTCAGCTTCCTCCTCTTCCTCTGTGTCTTCTGATTCAGATAGTGATGATAATGATCAAAACATATCATATAGACTTTTAAAACCTACATTTCCTCTTGAACAGTCTTCTGGATATGTAAAAAAATACAACTGTGAAGACAAATTAGATCGATCAGTCGTTTGTGTCAGTAAACATGCTAATGATTCCAATTGTCCATTACATACTAGCACATTAGCCGCGGTATGCCAAAAGAAACCCTTTGCAGAGGCAATTTCAGAACCAGCTTTTCCGCAAAATGCACCATTAGAAAGCGGCAGTGCTGAAAATAAAACACCTGGTTTTCCAGCTGAAAAGACTGCTGGTTTACAAATAGAGGACTCTACAGCATTAGGCCCGGTGAGTTGTATTACTTCCAAGTGTGAACCCATATCATTAGCAACAGTGCAAGATAGCAGCCCACTTTTCTCCACCAAAGAGACGGCTGAGGATGAGAGGAGTGTTAAGGTGGGTGCTTGCACATCTTCAGCAGTGTGCGAGCCTGAAACGTTGGCCATGGTTGTTAAACTTGAAACATTGGAGAAGGAAGATAATGCCTCTTCCTCGAAAAGCCCGAACCAATATGTGGCTGAATTAACTTCAAAAGATGTGCAAAAGGAAGGAGGAGGAGGAGAAGAAGAAGAAGATGATGAGCTGCAGATTGTGATTGTTGAAGATACTTATCTAGAAAAGAAGCTCGAGGATGATGCACAGCAGCACAATCTGACTGCAACAAATGTTAAAAACATTTTGCATGTAAGTATAAGTCATTGATGTTTTTACACGCGTAATTGATGCTTGCGTTTAAATTGATTTGTACCCTTGCTATCGGAGTTCTTATTGTGCATGTATAATATAACGGGTGTCTGATATCCTTTTTTAGGAAGTCATCACGAATGAGCATGTAATTGCTATGATGAGAGCAGCCTTGAATAACGTCGATGAAGCCCCAATTTTTGTAAGTAAAGAATCGAGCATGCGACGAGAATTTTTGCCTAAATTTTCACGTTTATTACATTACAATATTCAACTTAAAGCAGTAGTTTAATCGCACCTATCTTAAGTAATATGTAAGTGTGGTTTAGTCAGTTTGACTGGTGACGGCATGTTAATTTAAAAAAATGTGTTTGATTTTGGAGGTGTACTGCATTATAGAAACATTTAAATCAACTTGGCAAATCTATGGGACCCATTTGCGAGTGTTAAGTTATTGGATGATAAAAAAAAAAGCTTTACCTCTGCTGGCATAAATACACATGTTCAGAAGATATTCATTAAATACCTTGATAATGGTGAAAGAGTCTCAAAGATATAATTTCTTAACCCGAGCTTTTAATTGTTTGGTATTTGCAAAGTCTTTATACTGTTTGCCTTTTGGTGGCCTTTTGATCTAACACTGATGAGATAAAGCCATACAAGAGGCTGTCTTTGGTGTAGTCTGATACATGTCAGGGGCAATGTATACATTACGAAAGCATTTTAATTTTTTCGACCACATGTTTGTGTGGTTAATATAGACTTTATACCTTGTAATAGGCGTCTCTTTGGTGTTTAGACATCTTAACACCTGTTTTTATGCCACATCGACCAGACCCCCTCATTAATATTGGTGAGCATGTGCCATCCTCCAAATGGACCCCCCCACCCCTCCTCATTAATAAGCATGAGCGGGTGACGTCCTCCAAATGGACACTCTCCCCCCCATTATTAAACCTACTATAATCACCCAGGAATGTCTGTCATTAACGATCATGACGTCACTCCACATCGACCAGGCCCCCCCCCCCCTTATTAATATTCATGAGTAGGTGACGCCCTCCAAATGGACACCCCCCCACCTCATTAATAATCATGAGCAGGTGATGTCAATCCACATGGAGCACCCTCCCCCCTCATTAATAAGCATGAGCACGTGACGTCATTCCACGTCGAACAGCCCCCCTCATTCATAATAATTAACAGATGATGTCCTCCAAATGGACACCCCCAACCCCTCGATATTAATTTGTGGGTGACGTCACTCAATATGGAGTACTCCCCCCCCCTCACTAATAATCATGCGCAAGTGACGTCACTCCACATCGAACAGCCCCCCTCATTAATAATCATGAGCAGGTCACATCCTCCAAATGGACCCCCCTCCCCATTATTACCTACTATAATGAGGCAAGAATGTCTGTGCGCAATGCTCGTAACGTCACTCCACTTCGACCAGCCCCCCTCATTAATAATCATGAGCCGGTGACGTCACTCCATATGGAGCATCCTTCCCCCTCATTAATAATCATAAGGTGACGTCCTCCAAATGGGCCCCCCCCCCATCCTCAATAGCGTCACGCGATCTCCGTAACGCTATTGAGACATGAAAGTAAAAAGGACGTCATGATGAACAAGGGATTATAACCTTTACATGAAATAGGTCTGTGTCACCGCGCCCTTACAAATTGCGCACGCATTAATGCAATGAATATATCACGTCGCGGTCTGCTTTTTGCTTGCAAGTTTCAGATTTACTGCAATACACCCGGCCTTGGACGGGCAAAAGGCTAGTTACCAATCATTACAGACATTGAGGTTATAAAAAGCAACATTATGGTCAATTCAGAATGAATAAAATACATTCCACCCACTCTGAATAACCAACATGGTACCCTGAGAATTATGTGCATCAGACAGTCACACCTGCACAGTTGGCCTGTGAAAGTGTGCCAGTGACGAATTGTCACGCTTCTCATTTTTCCAGTTGCTTGATGTAATCGCAATCAATCAGAGATTGGTTTGTGACCATCCATAACTAGTGAGGTCGGGCATTGGATAAAAAGTATAAGAACCCAACTTTACTTTTTTTTTGCCTGTCATCGATTATTATTTAAGTTTTAACTGGCAGAAATTTTGACCTAACAATTCTAGGTCAAGACAAGGAAGGAAAAAAAAGTTTTTATATTGTGTTTTTTCACGACAGAACACCAGCCACTGTATAAACCACTTGTTTGGCTGAGATGGGAATACAGAGAAGCGTCGCTTATTTGAAAGAGGTGCTCTTAACCTGTTGGAGTGGAAATTTCAACAGTTCCTGAAAATTCTGCTGTTTGGTCATGGTCTCATCTGCAGTTAATACAGAATTTTTTTTTTATATACATGTAAGTTGAATGCATAACTTACTCAGCTAATATAGAGGGCATTTTTATTTACTTCAGGAACCAAAGATGACACGCTCAAAAGCGAAAGAAGCTTCAGAAAAGGGCTCTGTAAGTATTTTCATTTTGTGTTGTGGAATCAGTTTTTCAGTATGCTAAAGCACTTTATTATTTGAATTTCTTCATTTAATAAAAACATGTTTAAGTTAGTCTTGTGCAGTACTGTAGGTCCCTATATTATGGTCATCGCCAATTAAAATGTTTGCATTTGTAACAAAGGTAAGATATTTTACACATTTATGTGATTGCAACTATCTGATAATTCCAAAATTACAAACGGTTATTTGAAAAGCCTTATCCAGCCCAGCAATGCTGTGATTGAGTCTCTAAACAAAGCTTTGCAAGGATAACCCATCTCTTCATTCTGGGTCAATTAAATAAGTACCACGTTTTGAGAAAGTAACAGTGGTCATTGCGTGGAGTAGCTGGTACCCATAATAAGAATGGAATCCACCACTGGTTTTAGGAATGAAAATTAAGGCGAGTTCCCAACACTTTAATTTGACCAGAGAGGTACTTGAATAATGAGTGGTTATCATGTAAATAGAGCTCTACAAAGAAAAATTATATTTGTTAAACTATTTCCCACAATAAATCAGCATGTGGAGTTGCAGTAACCATTTCAGTATTGCCTTATTATGGTTTAATTAAAAGCAGTGTTTATTTGTATTTTGCATAGTTTACACTCTTCATTATGTTTTGGAAGGTGCAGCGTTATTAATTGACACGCATTTTTGTATTGCTTTATAACAGACTAGCTTTACTACCCGGCTTCGCCTAAGACTTGGATTCTTGTCTTGGGTTAATACACGGCCTACGCGGAGGGTCGGGGGGGGGGGATACGTGACGTCGGCAGACATACTGCGTGACGCTTCCGCATGCGGGTGACATCAGAGATGTGACGTCACCGCTCACTTGCCGTGTAAAATATATCCATTATTGCACCCCCCCCCCCAAAATACAAAAGTAAATTTTTATACTTTTTGCATTGTGTACAGTCTGGAAGATACCCACATGCCAAATTTCAAGTTTGTTGCATGTTGGGAAGTATGCTAGACATTTTGAACAGACACATTCACAAATTTCCATTTTATATATATAGATGTGTGTAATGGGTAATAACTTATATACCTCTATATTCTCTCTTTAAATTGTTGCATATAAGTCAACCGATGTATCTATGGTGTCTTTGTTTGGAAATGTAGTTTAAATTATTGTAATTATAGAAAAAATATATTTATATCGACTATTCTGACTCTTCTACAGCATATTATTTGTATTGTTTCAATATTCCATTGCATTTTTTGTGAAATGGGTGTGCTTCAGCAACCACAGTTTCTGGAGATTCCTCTTGAGGAAGAGGACTCATCTGATGAAGAATACCAACCAGAAGAAGAGGAAGATGACACAGCTGAGGAGGTCTGTATGAGAATATTTCTAATTAGACAGCATTGCTATGAATGCAGATGACGCAAGTCTACAGTAAATTACTTTATACTCCTTAATAATTATTATTACATTATATTTTTGGGTCTCATACAATATGTTCCTGTGGGTTATTTAGGTGCCACAGAGCAGTCCAGCGAATCACAACCCACATTTTTGAGGATTGTTAAATCGTGTCTCATACCTGCAATTTCATCGCCTATATCATTAAAGAGTAACGAGTATTATTGCAATTACTGTAATACATTTGGTGGAGTGTTTAGCACTGTTATTCACGTGCTGTGAACTCAACAACCTGAGTTTGATTTATAGCTGCAGCTAATATGAGTGGTGAGTGATAACTGCTCCGGGAACCCTCTTCAGCAACCCAAATTGAACAATGTGGTGCAGTGGGGTCAAACAACCCTCAAGACTGGTCCGAACTTATTAGATGCTCGCTAAGTGCTCGGTTGATTGGCAGAAGCAAGGACCTTGAATCTGATTGGACAGTGAGTGTGAAGGATGGAAACACGGCCCATTTGAAATGTTAATTGAGGGGTTGGTTAGAGACCTGTTTCATGGAAAGTTGTGGGATTGGCTAAGGGAAGGAAGATGCCCTGTAACTTTGGAGAAGGTCGTGTTCTAATTTTAATTTGGAGTCCTTCCACCACCTATTCTATCCGAGACTACTTTCTACATTTATTGTAGGCATAAAAAAATATTTTCGTCAGTGAATAGAAATGTCTTTACTGTGTCATGTACACGTACATTCATATTAAATGCATTGTGACATTCCATTATGTACTAACTTGCGTCATATGTATGTATGTATGTAGAACTTATTTTGCACCTTACGTAGTCAACCATGCTAATTATTTGCTACAAATATCGTACGTAATGCATAAACTTAAATGTACACTCATAGCACATAATACAATACTTGGAGTTTTACAAAGCTAACTGAATGCTAGTTTCCATCAACAATTTGTATTGTTTCACAACTTCCTTTACAGACCCTTCTGGAGAGTGATCTGGAGAATTCCCTGGTGGTTGAATGTGTTTCTCCAATCAGCCCTGGGCACCACCGGTTAAGGCGCAGCTCGTGTGTTTCTGATGTTGAGGATGAAGGCAGTACTGATGCACAGGTGACATTTCCACTTACATAGCTTACCATTACTGCTTATATATATAATTAATACATGGAATGCTTATATTGACACGTGGTATGTAAACGTGCATGGTGTATTGATGTTTGTCAGTGGCATAAAAACAGATCATGAGAAGAATATGAGAATATTGTTTTCAAATCTAGGATTCAATTTATGTTTTATAGGCTAACCTTCCAGAACTTTCTACAGAGGGCAATTAATTCAACATCGCACTTCCAAAAATTAATGCAGGCAATTGCAATTGCAGTGTTTATTGTTGAGGCAGTTGTATCTTCTTTGGTTCTTTCAGTAAAGTCACGTAGAATGAGAATAAAATAACACAATAAAATTCTCACAAAGTTTTGGCCACAACGCAAGCGGCCGTCTTCAGGTGAAAGGAACAGACCTGTCGGGACGACAGAGCTTCAATGAACGATGTTAAGATTCGTAGCGACTTTTAAACTGGTTGGGAGAAGTGAGGCACCTTGACAAAGGGGTTTACATATCAAATAGCTGAGGGATTAGCTTGTGACTGGTCACTGAAATGGCTATGTTAAAGTCAAAACCTACACATCCACAGAGGCAACTAGTAATTTAGCATTGAAATAGCTAAGGGATTAGCTTGTGACTGGTCACAGAAATAGATGTTAAAGTAAAGGCTTACACATCCACAAAGCTTCAATGAACGCTGTTAAGATTCGTAGCGACTTTAAGCTGGTTCGGAGAAGTGAGGCCCTTGACAAAAGGGGGTTTGCATATCAAATTGCTGAGGGATTAGCTTGTGACTGGTCACTGAAATGGCTATGTTAAAGTCAAAACCTACACATCCACAGAGGCAACTAGTATTTTAGCATTGAAATAGCTAAGGAATTAGCTTGTGACTGGTCACAGAAATAGATGTTAAAGTCAAAGCCTACACATCCACAGAGGCACCTCGTACATGGACGCCAAAGGGGGCTGCAACAACTCAACTGTCATACAGTAAACCGATGTGAAAAACCTAATTCTAATACTAGTTGCCTCTGTGGATGTGTAGGTTTTGACTTTAACATAGCCATTTCAGTGACCAGTCACAAGCTAATCCCTCAGCAATTTGATATGCAAACCCCCTTTTGTCAAGGGCCTCACTTCTCCCAACCAGCTTAAAGTCGCTACAAATCTTAACAGCGTTCATTTAAGCTCTGTGGATGTGTAGGCCTTTACTTTAACATCTATTCCTGTGACCAGTCACAAGCTAATCCCTTAGCTATTTCAATGCTAAATTACTAGTTGCCTCTGTGGATGTGTAGGTTTTGACTTTAACATAGCCATTTCTGTGACCAGTCACAAGCTAATCCCTCAGCTATTTGATATGTAAACCCCTTTGTCAAGGTGCCTCACTTCTCCCAACGAGCTTAAAAGTCGCTACGAATCTTAACATCGTTCATTGAAGCTCTGTCATCCCGACAGGTCTGTTCCTTTCACCTGGAGACGGCCGCTTGCGTTGTGGCCGAAACGTTGTGAGAATTTTATTGTGTTATTTTATTATTTTATTCTCATTCTATGTGACTTTACCGAAAGAACCAAAGAAGATTAATCCTTGCAGTCACGAAAGCTTTAAATCGAAATTTGAGGCAGTTGTAATTGTGGGAGTTATTACTGTTTGAATTGTAAATGCAGTATTTTGGTAGTAGTTAATTGCTATGGTACTTATGACTAGTATTAATGCTGTAATAAGCTAATTAATTTTGCTGTACTAATTAATTGCTCTCAGAATTATTACTGTTGTAATAGGTATGAAAGTTGATTGTAGTATTCTTGCTGTAGGAAGTAGTAATTAGTCTTACTGGTTGTGACATCACAAGTTTTTGGTGATGGCATGAATGATGATGATGATGATGAATTATTATAACATTTATTTTTTAACACACTAAGCAATACATTCCATCAAACGTAATTTAAAACCCAAGTAAACGTTTCACAATGCTTAAATAAGATTTACAGCCTTTTCAGTTTTCTTCATGAAGTATTTTTTTTTATCTAATAACATTCAACATGAAACATTCTGTACCATTATTGCATTTTATAACAGGTGATTTTGTAACCGCGATCCATAGATAATTGTTTGTTTCTTGGACATGTTGTGTTTGTTTTTCTCTTTAGTCAATCCAAGTTGAAGAACCACAGCCCACAATTCAGAAGGTCAGGCACATTAGCGCCATGGTTGTGCCAATGGGGCCTCCCCCTCCCCTTCCAGCAAAGGACAGCACTTTTATTGAGAAGCTCAATGCTGTTGACGAAGAGTTGGCTTTCAGCAGCATTGTCGGATATCAATATCGGGTTAGTATCGCGTGATAGTGTAAATGTCAAATTTCATGATCATATTGTGTATTCAATCTTTGCTGTTCACGTAAACAAGTAATTTCGTTCTAAATAATATTTACTTTTTTTTTACGTTGGCCATTGTGCTCCTGTTAAGAATAACTGTTAGGTTTTGATTTTAAGCTTTCGTGACTGCAGTAATTCATATTCTTAGTTTTTTCGGTAAAGTCACGCTGAAGAGAAACAACAAAATAACAAAATATATATAAAACACTAAGAATATAACTGTTAGGTTATTAATTTAATTCACAGTAGCAGTGTGTATAGAGGGTAAGCAAATGTTACTATGGTATTCTACCAGAACCAGTGATATACCATATCTTCTTTTTTATTATGGCATTTGTTTACTCAGGAAAGCGTTGCTGAGTCTCATGCCTCTGTTCTGTCAAGTTTTCACAGTGGGAGTCGTTGATTGCTATCTATATTCAAATTGAGTAATGTGGGGTTACTCTTTCAAAGTTGGCTAATTTGGACCATAACGCCGGCACAGTGGCCTGCTCTGGCGCATGACGGCATGAGATCTCTCAAGTTCACTATGAAGCACACGGTGCATATTTTAATTATTACACCCACAGTAATAACCATGGCGGTCGCTGAATTCGAACCATGAACCAGTGCAACAAGTGGTGAACGTGCTACCAATAGGCCATGTCACTGCTTTTAAATACGAATTGCTTATCACAAAAATAAGCTTGTGTTTTTATTGTATTTGTAAAAGTGATAACTAAATTGTATGTGTTTCGATTTAAAGCTTTCGTGACTGCAAGGATTCATCTTCTTTGGTTCTTTCGGTAAAGTCACGTAGAATGAGAATAAAATAATAAATTGATAAAATAAAATAACACAATAATATTCTCACGACGTTTCGGCCACAACACAAGCGGCCTTCATCAGGTGAAGGGACGAGACTGTCAGGAGGACAGCGCTGTCCTCCAGACAGACAAAACTACCACAATAGTCTTCAATGTGTATTATAATAATGATCACAGACTTTTAATAAGCAGAATGTGGAAATTCATGTGACGTACGTATACCCTTTTAAAAAACGGCTGTTTGTTCCACGGTTATTGTGCTGTAGATTTTTATCATAGCTCACTGGCATTGATTCTGCATATGCAGAGTCTGGGATGAATGGGTTGGATATTCAAGGACGAAGAATGCTGCTTTATGAAAGTAGCTTGATATAAATTTAAAACACCGTACTTAAATTGTGAAGTCTAATTACATACAAGAAATTAGTCAACCCAAGGATATTTTATTCAATTAAAATGAATCAGAATGTGTTAGTGTATATCATTTAAATTGTATTTTTTAATATTATTCCATCAAAATGCTTCCTAATTGTAATTGAATAAAAGCAAAAAACCCACTTTTATTATTTTCAATTTATTATTTTTATTACATTTTTATGATTTTTAAGTTTATTATTTTATAAGAAATATATATTTACGTGACTTTACCGAAAGAACCAAGAATATGAGTCAGTGCAATTAAAGTGCTACCATGATAGAATACTAATGTGCCCTGACTGCTAGTGTTCAGTATTAAAAAGGTCCAGTGGGAAGTGTCCAAGGAAAAAATATGACCATATTATAAACTGAATGTGCTGTACATTGCTATGGGTGGTATGGTTAACAAAGAGATGAGACTATCATGATGTGATGACATTTATACATGACATCCCCATGCCATCATTTCATCTCCTAAAGCTTTATGATTTTGCCTTTTATATGAGGCAAATGCATCTCCAGTGAATCATCGGTGGCCATTTTTTCGTATTTGTTTATTAGGGCACAATGTACGATCGTTAATTTGTTTTATTCGTTTAACTTGAACGATTTTTCACTTTCGTCATAAGAATTTCACCGCATTGGCCTTTAACGTGTGACCACTTGACGCGCATCTGAATCCCGATATGTCGACATCACTTTCGATGCTTTTATATCTTTTCATCTCCTGTTTGTGTTCATTACTCTCTATTGCTGCTGTCCTATATTTTACAAAACGTTCATGACACTATCTTTTCATGTCTTCCTTCCATTGGTACATCCGAGCTGAGCCGGTATCGTGGGTTTTCTACTGGTTATGTTCTGTACTGAGCTAGAACCTGGCTCTGGGGGAGCAAACAGGGCCAGGAGTAGGGCTAATGACACGTTCACTGCGTCTGACATCAGCTGGCACGTATGTAGATGATGTGTTGGACTGCGTCACCACACATCTCCAACATACGTCTCAGCTAATTGCGTGTTAAGTTAATGGCGCATCTTGGCTTGTGCAGTGGAAAAACAGCCAAGTCTTCCTGAACCACCACTTCTGGATGGCACAACCCCATTGTAATATAAATAAATAAGCCTACACTTAGTGTAGTTGGATGCTTTTCAGTGATTTATTTGACTAGTTTGACTGTAAATGGCTGTTGGTGTTTATATGTTGGCAATACTTGAAATTACATACCCCTCACAATGGGAATGGAATTTCCACCAGTGGCTCAGGGCTGTAAAGAGTGACACCTCATGCTCATTGGAGTCGGAAACCACTTAAGACTTTTTTGAGTGCATTCATATGGAAATCCATATCATTGTGCCTGTTTTAACTTTTTTAAATGATGTGTGTGTTTTTTTATTGTTGCCATGTTCAGCCAGACGATGAAAACTTAATAGCATACCGCACACGCTCCAAGCGGACACTGAGGGACATGCCTATTGGGCAGCTAGAAGCAGAGCTGAATGCACCAGATATAACGCCAGATATGTACGAGCCGGCAGTTACCGAGGATGAAGATTGGAAGACTTGGCTGCATGGGCTTATGACAGACCCAGTAGATAATGCAGAAGGTAAGTAATTTGGCGATACGTTTTGCAGTATACTTGATTAACGTCTTGGAATCAAGAATATGCAGAAGAACAACATCTGTTGACAAATTGAATGTGCCAGATTCCTGTTGAGAATACGCATGCCATTCTTGTGTGAATAAACAGATGGGAGGAGAGGCAAGGCAGTTGTCGTTTGCCTGAAGCGAGGTGAACTTTGGCTATTTCAGGCATTTCAGAATCCTGTGGCGATAAGACTACCCTATAGATCCCTTGCCTGGTTCCGTGCCCGTTCAACCCCTCTTTTCACCATCTGTTGTAAGAGTAAATAAACATATATTAGTTCCAGTGCAATTTTCTGCCGATTTGGCCATTGTACAAAATCAGCGGGGGAAAGTGTTTTTTTGTCAAGTCGTGAATTAGGAGTCTAAACAATTATTTAGCTTTTTGCTTGTTTTGTTCCATATGACTTTTCAGGAAACAGTTTTGGTTTTGTGCTTTTATCTACTGTTAATCCAACTTTTCCCATGTGATCCTTATGGCGGGACCCCGGGGTCCCGAATAAACGGAAGTCAAAATCGTACTTCATTCATTTTTTTGGCTACTCTGTCCCACCGCGCACATAAACGCCGCGACCGACCTGGCGCGGATCATTATGTTGTCATGTCGTCCAAGCGCAGTGGGGACCATTTGCGCAGAAGAAACTTTGCTTAGCGCATCGTGTAGAGCTCGTCGCGAGGAATAGAATGCTGTATCGTTCACTTTCAACAGACATGAAAGGACGTCGCAACGCAATTGATGAGAGAGCCGGGGGCTTATGGGACCCCGGGGTCCCGCCATAAGGTTCTTATGTTATGGGCATAATACCTGTGTGTGATAAAAGTACATATTCAAAAGTTACTTTGACTTGTCCTCCCCTTGCTCCCAAAAAATTTAAACCTAAATCTGTGAATGTAATTTCAACGCTGTGTATTTTCAGGAACACAGTTAAAGTTTGTGTCACAAGTATTAAATTGATACGTATTTTGTAAATCCAGGCCTAAATTCATTAAATTAAATGATACTTAATTTTTATTTGCTAACGCACCCCCCTTACAACATGTATTTATTTTGGAAAATAAGCGTTATACAGTGCGGTTCGACTTGCGCGCTGTTTTTCAGGAACGCATGTCACGCGTTATGTGAGGGACGCCCATATGAGGTTTATATAAAATTAAACACCCTGCCCTTTAGTTGTGCTGAAATTCAAACGTCATTTTTTTGGGGATGTAAACCGACTCTTTTTTTAGTTTAACACGTAGACTCTTTTTATACAAATGCAAAAAAGACAAGAATATACTGGGTACAAAATGCCACACTGTCCTAATTTCATTTTTCTATTCTACTAATTAGTTTGAAAAAAATCAAGACATTTACAGCAAGTGTACTTAAGAACTATGGCTCACTCAAAGTTGCCTAAGCCACCAAACAATCCGTGCGATTTATGATTCAGTGTAACTTCTCAAGTGTCCAAATAATTCAACTAAAGGCACTTAAAACAAAGAACCTAAATGTAGTGGAACAAACCTCCCAAGCCATTCTGTGCAGCTTACGTTTACATTTTGTGCTTGATTGTCCACTAGACAACGATGATGAAGAGGATGACCCAGAATACAATTTCCTGGAGGACCTTGATGAGCCTGATGTGGAGGACTTCAGGAATGATCGTTCTGTCCGGATAAGCAGTAAGTCTACTCACCTTCTACCTCACATTCAGACTTAAAGTGATGATTCTCCTGATATAAAATTATTAGTAAGTCTACTAAATGTATAATTAGTCATATCTTCCTTGGAAAAAATGTTAATCCTAATAGATTCTCACTTGGCTGTACAAAAAGAATAATGTCATCCTGATTGTAGTTAGTGGCCATTGGTTGTTTACAATAAGCCTTGCTTGTAATTCATTTATGAAAAAATGTTACTTCCTGTCAATGTGTCGTGAAAGGACTATGTGAATACACACAACCAGCTCATTATGAAACATGTTTTTTGTCGGGATTAATGCTCGCTGACACATTCAAATGCAAATTCTGTATTTACTCACTGCATACATCTTTGTGAAAAATAATAAAGACGCTGGTAAAACTTAAGACCTAGTCTATGATAAACAAGTATTTGAGTTTGATAATACAGTAATTAGTATGAATGTGATTTTTTTTTAATAAACAATTGTTTTGAAAATTACAATTTTATATCAATATTTTCTTAACTATTTTATGTCCATGACTTAGTTTTCCTGATCTTAACATAGATGCATGAAAATTAAATACATTTTTACAGTGCAGAGCGTGAAATGCAGATGTTTAAGTCTCAGTTTAATGTTCTCCTAGAAATAAAGAACAGGACACTAACATTGTTCGAAAACAATTGTATAAGAATTAATGCTTAAAAATTATAGATAGTGGTGGTATCTTTAAAACTATACTGTTCATGTTATGTTACTTTTACATTTTTTGTTAGTTTGTTTTTATATATTGGTTGAAAGAAGCTGTGTTTTTTTTGCAGAAAAGGAAGTCAATGAATTAATGGAAGAACTCTTTGAAACGGTGAGTTTAGTCTGTCTTTAAAGGATTAAATCCATGTTGCAGAATGAATAACACTACAATTGTGTGTAAGGTTACAAAAAGAAGAAAAGGAATATGCAACCAAAACATTCTATTTTTCTTACCTTGTGAATATACTTACCAAGGTTTATGTGTCCTGGGTTGGTTGACAGCGATGAAGCAGCGGATATTTTAGGCCAATTAGCAATGATAATTTTTGTAGTGTTCAATAGATGTTTCCTCTTGAAACCAAATTTAAGGTGGAATGAGCTTGTATTGTTTTATTCTGTGCTGCGAAGAAGAGTTTCGTAATAAAAAAACATTTCGAAAAAATGTCATTCCTTTGACTAGACTGGAAAAATATGTGATAGGATGGGTCACTGCCAGGTCACGGCAGGTCGGTCATGCTCTAGGGACCCCACGCCCCCTTGCCTTTTCTGTTTCTCTCATCCACAGCAGACATGATAGAGATGATGAGCACAACACACATTACAGATATGTGGGATAGTAATTCGCCCACCTGTGTTTACGGATACATATTTTCTACTTTGATCAAGTTAAGAATATTTTTTTTGAACATTGGAGTGAATTTAGCTGCCTCCATCACCTGTATCATCTCCGATTAGCACGGTTGGCTATGTAGTGCGAAATAAGTTATCCATACATACACCTGCATACATGTACTAATTAAAAAGCGCTCTTACAGATTTTAAATAGATAGAACATAACGCCAATGCAAAAAATAGGGTCAGAATGAAGTCAGCCAGCTGTGTCGGTTAGGGTTTAAAATAGTCCACACTTTCTCGACCGAGAGACTACTGAACATTTCAGCAAATCTTCTGTATTTTGTGTAGATATATGCATTATATGGAACATATGTTAAATATGTGGGAAGATATGTATAAAATCATTTGTGAATAAGAGGATATTTTCTCGTATCTACGAAAAGATCCATGGAGCATATTATTGTTGGCGGAACATTCCCATGATTCCTGCTTGTTGCGCATGTAATATTGAGCCAGTCACACGAGCAATTACGTATTCTGTGCAGCCAACCAGACTATCCTAAGCATATTCTTAGCTCTTTCGGTAAAGTCACGTTGAAGGGAAACAATAAAATATATATAAAACAATAAAAATTCTCACGACGTTTCGACCATAACACAAACGGTCATCATTGGGTGTGAAAATGCTTTTCACACCTGATGATGACCGTTTTGTGAAAATGCTTTTCACACCTGATGATGACCGTTTTGTGTTATGGTCGAAACGTCGTGAGAAATTTTTTTGTTTTATATATATTTTATTATTTTATTGTTTCCCTTCAACGTGACTTTACCGAAAGAGCTAAGAATATGAATTACTGCAGTCACGAAAGCTTTAAATCAAAATTTATCCTCAGCATGCCACTTTGTATTAAATTCAACTAAAAAATTCACCAGATGTCATTAATATTAAAGATTTACTGGAGAGATAGCCTTTACAAAAAAGTTGGTGGTCATGACATTTTTATGAAGGCTATCACCAGTATTGTATCTATAGCTACTTCCTTTGCACATACTAATAATCACCCACATGTTATGACATCACTCGCGTTAATTTTAATTGTCAAAATGACATTGATTCATAAATCATTCTCCATTGATAAATTATAGGAGCATTCATTTGCGCTTTAGCATTATGGAGTGGAGCAGTTCACCATGACCCCTTAAGTGTTATGTTTATTCTGCCCGTCACATGATAAAACTAAAGTGACACTTGGGCTTCCCCAGTTGCTAGGCGTAAGGGCCAATTGCTTCGGTTTCCTTACACGTGTCTTTGAGATAAATCATAAACACTAAAACAAGCTTGGCCATCCTGAGCACGTGCGAGTACTTTCTGGAGTCCATTTACACCGACAATGCGAGACTACGGGCTCTATGTCCATGCTTGCAAGGCAGTCTTTAGCTCCCTCGATGTTTCCAGCTTATTTTATTTTAACCAGGTGAGAACTCAAGAGACCAGGATAGTCTCATTTGCTCGCGTGACCTGGGTAACAAAAATGGCAAAAGCAACAATGAAATCAAATTTTAAAAAATGGCTGAAGCAAAATTAAAGTACAACAATGAAACAAAACAAATGAGAAAAAACGATGTAACATGATACATCAAACATTACACAACCATGAATCAATATTAATACATTCGCTCTATGTCCATAGTCTGCACTTGGCCATGTGGGTTGAGCAGGGAGCGATCTATCTTGCTACTGGGAGAAACAATTTTGGGTCATGTGTGAAGCACTGAGGTCAGAGTGCAATTTACTTTTATCTTAATTATTGGACTTTTGTTTGAGGAATGGATGAATGATTTTGAATGTTTTTTTTGCAATTGTGGAAAACATAATTTAGCTTAAAAAAAATTAGCATTCAGTTAACGTTTATAATTTTCCAATTAAGGTTGTTAATTATTCATTTGTTATATTTTAAGAATTTGTTTGGTTAACAGAAGCAGCAATACAATAAAAATAACGAGGATAGGTTTTCCCCTTTTTTCTGGCAACAACAGGTGTTAAGATGTTAAAACACCAAACTGAAACCTTTTACAAGGAATCATGTCTGCATTAACCACAATACTTGTGGTCAGAATGCAAACAAAAAACGTACTCTGATAATATATGCATTGTCTTTGAAACTGATTGGTCCACACCAGAGACTAGGCTCAAAAGAAAGCTGTCTCTGGTGTGGACAAATCAGTTTCAAAGACAATGCCTGTAAATATGTTAAGCCAGTAGTCTTGCTTGACTTATTCTGAATTTTGATATTGTAGATATATAAATATAAAACGCAACACATTTGTCAATACCACTGTCTTAAATAAATAATATAACATCGGAAACGTTTTAGACAATGGCCTTTCTTCATAGCACATGGGAAGCAAATTAGCCCTTGTGCCCTGAGGAAGGGCCAGTGGCCAAAACGTCATCGATTATATATTCTTTCTTTTAAGGCAGTGTTATTGACAAATGTGTTAAATTCTCATTGTTGATTGTGCTTGTGAACCACTGCCAACATAGTATCACCATGTATTGTTTAGCTCTATTGTCTACCAAAATGTCCTTAATTCATCCCTTCACATGATTTCAAGTTTGGAGATGAGGCAGGCTCTCAAGAGTGGGAGGAGGAGGTTGAAGAAGAAGCCGATCAACAAGAGGCTGATTTCAATACCCCTCAGACAATCAGGTACGTTGCAAATGTAGTTGTTCACATATCCATTCCGGCTGTTCACCTTTCAGCACCACGCAGGTACATTCCGCATTCGATCTCCTGTTGTACACATACATTTGCAACAACATCATTGCCTAGATGTATATTTAGTTGTGTTTGTCACTTCTGTATAAAAGCAAACTTGTCATTTAATAAATGTAGCGGTAATTAAGCTGTGAAAAAGAAGACGGGATTGGAGAATACCTGAAGGGGGGGACATTTAGCAGGAAAGAAGGGATCGGGGTGGCTTAGAGGAACTTTGGAAAGTTCCAGAGAATTTGGGGAGAGAGAAGGTATATGAGAGGTGTGTGTCGTGTGTTTGGTGCTCTGGGAGAGAAGGCGTGCTGTGGGTGTGCACGTGTTGTGGTATATGTATATATGTGGAACTTCTTTCGTGCCGTACGTAACCAACCATGCTAATCGAAGGTGCAAAGAGGTGAATAAAAGCCTTACGGGAATTTTGTCTTATGGACTCCCTTTCAAAAACATCATTGTGCATTCATGAGACAATTGGTAAATGTTTTGTTGATTGGGCCAGATATTTGTGATGAAGGTTCCATTAAGGAGGGGCGGTGAGCACCTTGTTGTAAATTCTGTTTAGCATGAGGCGGGTGAGTGTTTTATGAAGCCTGTAATAAATTACATGAGTTCTAGGAAGATAGAGCTGGAACGGCTTGACACGGCCATTGATTTTTTTTGTCTGAATACAACATGATTGTGAGAACTCTAATGCTTGCAGCATATTTACCATGACATTTTCATGTGTTTTGATGATTACATTTAGTAGTGAGGAAGTGATCACCAGTAGTGCAGAAGTAACTGACAATAAAGCAATATTCACTTACAATTAAGATTCTGATTTTTTACAACAATGAAGTATGGGTGATCAGTCACAGCAACGCTGAATTCTCTCAAACTCCGACAGCATTGCCAGATTAGGATTGGGGCAAAGTTTTGATGCCTTGAAAGCGTTACAGAAAAGGGAAATCATACTCAAATTACTGGGAGGTATTTAAATCAGCTATAATTCAGACAGCAGCAGAGGTACCTCATGTAAAAAATATGAAAAGGAATTGTCAAATAATTCGAAGTAAGATTCCTTAAATATTTAGTAATACTTTGTAAGGCAGATGTATTATTGTAATGCAGTGTTTAGTTTGTAGGTCTCTGAATGATAAATAAACGTGTATTGTTGGTTTTTCTTATGAATAGAATATTTGTCATAATTTATACAATGTATTTATTTCGTTACAAAAAACTAATGAATATTCGACTCCATAATTTTAATGTACAATGCTTTTTTCATTGCACTTTTAACAAGTTTTACTTTCAAAATAATTATGAAATAAAGGTTATACACTACCTCTAGAAATAGCACAGCATTGTGCAATTACCACTCTTTGCCGAAAGTGGTAAGTGTGCCACTGTTTTCCGCACACCATGAATCACACAAATTGTAGAAACACTTGTTAAAATTTAAACCCGAGTGTTTAAATACAGGACAACAAAAATTCCCTCTTTAAATGCATGTTGTTTTTGTGCTTTTGAACATCAGATTTGAGGAACCCCTGGCAAATGTCATTATGGACTGCCGGCAAACGGTTAAGACACAGCTGGACCTTTTGAGGATGAGGAAAAGTAATATCAAGAAAAAAGCACCTAATTCTCCAGGAAACAAGGAAGAGGAGAAGAAAGTCCTTTGCTCTTTTTCCTTATCTCCAGAGCAGCATACCATGCTCCAGCAGCAAATGCAGCAGGTAGGAGAATATACCTATCGATATGCAACCGATAAAAATGTGTGCACAGCACTCAGTTTGCACGTATGTCAAGTTGAAGCGGCAGTCACAACTAATGCTGTTTACGTCTCCACACGTTGCAATTTTTGCTTTCCTGCTCGATCTTTTGGCTGTAGTGAAGTTGACCTCCAGGGTCCACAGTAAAGGTGTTATGATTTACTCAGCGACTTGAGAATTGATTCAGGGGTTGAGACTAGACTATACGATACAATACAGGTGCCATTAAAATTCTAGATGTGGTTTAAGTCGTTTTTAAATCATAATAACAAGGATCCTAGGCAGCCAGAAGTGTATTTACCAAGCCTACTTGAAGAGTGAATTACGAAGAGATCAGGGGTATGCAAAGAGTAGATATCTGGATCAGGGGAATGCAATAACATTACTTAGGCTATAAAGTAATGTAAAACTAGAAGAGTAAATGCTTTAATTTCGACTTAAAAACAGAGAGGTTACTGGTCTCTCAAGACACTTACTGGGAGAGAGTTTCAGAGAAGGTGGTGCATTTTAGCTGAAAGAGCATCTATCTGCTTTCTTGCCATGTTATATTACAAACGTCAAACATGCTCACCCTTTGATGATTTGCTTAACATCCTCCATACATTTGTATTCAATGAATAGAAGCGTTTTATAGTTGTTTTGTCTAGTACCCTTCCACATACTTGCCCTCTATAATGTTAATATGATACACTGACTAATTTTTTTATAATTTTACTCGTTGCTAAATGTTGTTAAACCCCATATCTACTAATGTAATACATCTCTTCCTTTTTATGATTACCTGTATTATGCACGTTAAATACCTTATCACATTTTTCTCAACGTTATTTATTACCTTCAAATCTTTACTTTCAAACCTGCACCTGTGCCGAATATCAAAGAGTCGCTCTGCTCAACGCTGCAGCCAATTTTATTTTAGTAAGCAACCTCGCATTAAGACCCTAATTTCTATCCACAGCTGTAATACCCCAACCAAGGTACTAGCTAAAACAACTATGTAATCTTAATTCTCCTAGGTTCTCAATTACAAATTACAAATGGCGACCCCTTTGTTTTCTGCTGCCTGTGAACTATTAGGGGTTTAAATGGACACAGAATAATGTCATTGAACAAAGTGGGTGGCAACATACACCCCCAATGAATGTGAGTTCTCTTGTCAAACTACTCTGTCTGTCCTAAACATTTGGCTCATCTTGCCTGGACTGCCATAGCAACTAGTGTTGCTATTTGTATTTTAAAGTGCTTAAAGATGCTGTAGCATTTAAGCACCAAGTAAATGTAAATTCTAATAATCTGAGAATTTCTGTAGACAGAATATTATTATTGTAAGCTATAAAAATGTTGTGATGTATTTCCAGCTGATCAATATTTTCGGTCTGATAGTAGTATTTTATTATTGTAACTCTCTGTGCCTTAACCCACACTGCATTTATATTTCAACTTCTATATGCTTGTGTGTCATTAAGCAAAACTTTCTTTGAATACTCAGTTAACTTCCCTAGAATACTGTGTAAATGCATTGTGCCATTGTTATTCCCCTGTTTTCTTTAATTCCATTCATGTAATCGTATAATAGTCTTTTTTAGGCTTTTGGCAACTTTGCCGATAATATCATCCGTTTCAGGGTGCTATGACAAAGTGCACTTTGCAATGGACTCTCACCCCATTTATAAAACTTGTGCTGACAGCACCTGATACACGATAAATACAAAGTAACGGTGCGAAGCCATGGCAGCCAGGCACAAGCGAGCCATCTTTCTCATCTGCATTGTATCTATCAGAAAGGGAGATGAAGCATTTGTCAAAATGTTGTGTCACCTATGACTTTAGTTGTTGCACTAGAAAGGCATTCATGATAAAGGTTTTTTGGGTTAGATTGCATAAGTATAAATGTCATCTTCGGGTGATTTTGGCAAAATCTCCCGATCATGCTGGAAGTAATTACCAGTGAAACGTCATACTCAAATTGTAAATGTTGTGGATTAACTCTTCAATACACAGGTAGGCTGATATAGTAAGTAATTGGCTTGTTCTGTTTACGTGAGAAACCTTACTAATTGGCTATGTCGCGTGGTGGCGGGTTAAGAGCATATTTATACTTAAGTGATCTAATCCAATAAAACAGCTCTGAACCATTTCTTCAGCCACATCAAGTACATACACCCAGCCATCAAATTCACCTTGGAGGTGGAAAAAGAAGTACCATTCTTGCATGTTTTAATCGAAAGGAGACCAGATGGCTCAGTGGGACACAGGAAAGCCACCCATACTGATGCCTACCTAAAACCTGACTCCCACCACCATCCATCCCAGAACAATTCCCTCATCAAAACTCTTCACCATAGAGCTCGATGTATTTCCGACCGTCATCACCAAGCCAGTGAACTGGAACACGTACACCAAGCCCTCAAGATGAATGGATTTTCAGATGACACAATCCGTAAAGCTATCGCCCCAACCGTTGCGAAAGAACCATCTGAGGACCCAATCAAAACCATCACCTTGCCATACATAGCAGGGGTCACTAAAAATATTTCCAAAATCATGAGCAAACTCAAGATCCAGGTTCAATTTAACAGTACATCAAATTCATGATCTGATCCCATCTGTGAAGGATGTCATCCCTGACATGCAATACCCCGGTGTCTACAAACTAAGCTGTGTTGCGGCAGTAGTTACATTGGGGAAACTAAGCGACATGTCTCGGACCGTGTTCGTGAACATAAGGCAGATCTGAAACACGGTAGGACCAATTACCTCGGCCGTGGCTGATCATTGTTTTAATGTGGTGGGCTCACGTGAAATTGATTTCTCTTAGACGAAGGTACTTTACAAACCCACTGGCTATCAACAAAGATTCGTCCATGAAGCCATCCATATATATAGACAGACACAATTTCAACCGAGAAGATGGGTACAAACTGAGCAATCATTGGAAGGACGTTATCAACCATTTTACGTCAATTGGCTATGATGTTACCATCCTACCACCTTCCGATGTTAGTTGTGCTTTATGCCCATTTCAAACTTGCGCTTTCTTCACAGTCACTTCGCGCGCCAACCCCTTGGTTGCGGCGCTGCGATCTTCCATTAACATGCTAATTTTTACCTGGCAGCCCTTTGATTGGTGGAAACCGAACCACCGCTGGGCTCGTTGCCGAACACTTTCATTATCATTGGCTGCTGACATTTGGGCTATGCCCATTTCAAACCTTTATAAACAGTTTCCCTTGGAAGCTAAACCCCCCTTTTCCTGAAGACGACCGCTTGCGTTGTGATCGAAACGTCGTAGTTTTTTTGTTATTTTCTTTGAACCTATCTACGTGACTTTCCCAAAAGACCCAAGAATGTGAATTCCTGCAGTCACAAAAGCTTTAAGTCAAGATGAATAATATTGGTCACAAAACTGGAAAGACATATACCTACTTATACACCATTGTTATGGGACTGCAATATCCCACAATTTTAAGGAACTTAAAGTTTCGTGATTCCAAACATGGTCACCTTATAGCGATTCACAAAAGAGAATCGTAAAGACGTTTGTAATTGATGCGTCAATATATTTTATCTGTTTAATCCATTTTAACTGAAATAAATTATATTTGATCCATAAGGTGTTATGGTATTAAAGTAGAAGTCATTCTCTCCACTGGAGCACATGATGTGGGAGTGGAGCACTGGGACCATTTGGCTATTCCATGTTTTCTTTGCGTTTGTGTTCGGAAATTATATAAATTGAAAACATAACTTAAGTGGAAAAAAATACGTGGAAGTTAAAATGTTTATTTTGCTTATTTACCTACTTACATTTCGGTTCCTGCCCATACAAAATATTACATTTCTATTGTTGGTGGCAATACTGACAGCTTGGCAATGGCAGCATGTGGCAGTTGGTAATAAAGAAAACATTAAGATGTCTGCGAATATATCTCAAAATGGATAAATTGCAAAGATATTGTATTCTAAATGCCCTTACATTGCAGCAGTATTCGGTCTCAAAGTATCAAAAATAAGCAATATACAATGGTGGAAGTGTGAATGGGAAAGGTTTGCATTAATCTTTAAAAAAATAATAATTGGTATGAAAACCAGCAACAACAACAATAATATTGTTGTAGGACTCTTTGGAGGTCATACAAATGTGCACCAGGGTGAATTATACATCTGGAAACATTGGAGATTTCACTTCTGTAACACAGTCTTGCCTAGGAAAGAGATGTTTTGGTGTTGTTATGGTCCCGAAATAATGATCGACCTCATTGTGTATAAAATAGGCTTATGAAGAGACTCAAGAAGTAGCCCTGTCACGAAGCCTTCCGGGATGTTTGTTCGAAACGTAGTGGTGCACTACTTAGTTAGAAATGCACTTGGCCATGACTTGATGCAGATAGGTTAACTCAAATATAATTCATATATAATGGTAATAAAAGCCCCCAAACGTTGTGATGTTCATAGTTGTTGGCAGATTATGTGTGTATATATATGGTGGTAACAGGCCCAGCGATAGCGCGGTCACCAACCTTCGCAGAGGTTCGCCGTTAAAATCTGGCATATGATTATCTGTACAAGTAGGCGCCGTCTTCTTCCCAGTGGGCTTTAAAGTTCCTGTAACATCGTTTTGGTTTTGGCATCATGATCCACATTTGAAAACTTGGGATTCCACGCAGCAACATCGCCCCCTTCTGTGAAGCAACTAAACACTGTTTCTGAGAAAAACAGCACTGCTCTTCGAGCCTTGCACTATAAGAATGGTGTGAATAACAAATGCGCTCATGATTTTACTTATATTTTGCCCATGTGAATATGAGGTGATCATCTCCATTGATAGCCTCGAGAGAGACTTATTTGCTCCATAGGACAACTACGGTTAACTGCATATAAAGTGGCACTTTTTTTATTGAGCACAGATGGGTGGTGCTTTATAGCAGAGGTGATAAAAGGTTCACCTTAATAGTTTATCCTTGCAGGGAAAAGTAGAAGTAAAACAAAATTGTATATATTTTGATTTAACGCTTTTGTGACTGCAGTAATTCATATTCTTAGCTCTTTTGGTAAAGTCACGTTGAAGGGAAACAATAAAATAATCAAATTTATAATGATGATCGTTTGTGTTGTGGTCGAAACGTCGTGAGAATTTTTATTGTTTTATATATATATTATTGTTTCCCTTCAACGTGACTTTACCGAAAGAGCTAAGAATAAAAATTGTATATGTTTACATAATAATGGTGTTTGTGTCTGATTACTGAAATGGGTCATAAATTTATATAAAAATCCATATACGGTCTCGTGGATATTTTGATCATGATTGCATGGATATTGAGATCATAATTCCTGTACAGATCGTGATGAGCGACGTGAAGGATTAAAATATGTCAACCAGAGTTGGATGGTCATGTTGTGTACTGCTAGTTTAATCCAAAATCAGCGGAGGTCCCCTTAAAAGGAACGTTGAAGTTCCAGGGCTTCTGTGCATTGTTCGCACATGGCTTCCTTTGAGACTAATGCACAGATGAACCCAGGTATTTACTATGCTAGACTATCGGGAATTATATTGGTGCAATAAATGTGGTGGTAAAGGTAAAAAAAGAAATCGCTTTTCTGCTAGTGACTTAAATTTGGATAACTACATTTAATGGTATACTGTATTTGGCGGTGGTGTGCTTTGCCATCATTAGCGACAACACCACACGTGTTGTTGTTTTGATAGGGAAAACACTTTCCACAGTTATGTAAGTAAGTTTAGGCTTTAAGCCAGCGTAAACAGATTTAATATTTGGCATTAGTAGGAGTATGACGCATTAAACAGTTTACATTGCATGGGTATTTATGTTTTATGTTTTTGCGTCATTAAAAGGACAAATAGGTTTTAATGATTAACACAGTATTCATGTAACTTTAGTCATTTTATTCTTCCAATATATGGCCCTGTTATTTTGTTTTTATTATTCCTTATATTGACTGGTCAGGTGGCACTGTGCAAATCACACGAGAAAACTAACTTATATCTTGCTTAGGGGTTGACTTAGGTCATAATTTAGTGTCAATCAAACGGCCTACTTGGCGGGCAGTTATCAGTGGTGACTATAAACTGGCTCCTATAATAAGGATTTATAATTTCAAATATTGCCTCAAGTCTTCCAATAAAGTTGGGAACCTTTGCATACTTGCATAAGCAATGTGAATATATATTTAAAATATGTAATTGTTTAAACTATAAACCAAGCAAAATTATTGTTTTAAGTCTTAATATTGAACTTGAAAATATCTTAAATCAGCCAAAAGTAAATCGAATGTTCAATGGGGCAAAGTTTATTGAGGTATTTGTTAATGGTACTGTGATATATTGTCATGGTCGAGTGGGTGTGCGTTTGCCACTTTTTGCAGAGGTTTGCAGTTCGAGACCCACGACCGCCCTGGTTAATACTCTGGGTATATTTTGCTATGAATACCCCCCTTCCCGCTTCACAATGGACGTTAAAAGGTCCTGTGATGTTACTGGGAATAAATAGGCCATGTATGTTTGCCATGTAGGACCAAATATGACACAATTACCAGCAGATTACTCAATTGGGATAACATAGCACCATCGCCCACTGCTGTGAAACGACAGCATATATAAAAAATAGGATCTTGATTATAACCTTCTGCAATTACTGTACAAATACCAAATGTGATCATGATTTCACTTGATTTCTGTACTATTCTAGAAAGTATGCAAGTCATCAATATTACACTTTAAATGTACATTTGGCTTTGTGGTTATGAACGGCATTTGCTTAGGTACATATTTTTTATTTGTGATAAATAGTCACAATATTACGCCGATAATTAGTTACATTTTTAAGGTCTGTATGTATTTTGCATTTTCCTCCTTTATTTGTGAAGATGGAGCACTCTCTGAGTTTAAATAACCTATCACAATGTGAAACACTTATTCAAGGTTGGAAAATCGGTAATATACATTAGTGTTTACTGAAGCAGACTAAGCAATTATGCATGTTGTACTTAAGTGGATAGTTATTTTGATGCATAAAGGAAATAATATATTTTTTGTGGGTTTGTTGCATAATGTAGCTTTCTTAATTTTTAAAATGTTTAATATTTCACACCCTGTCTGTTCCATTAGCATGTTCAACTCCTGACACAAGTTAACCTGCTGTCAACTGACAATCCAAGTCTTTCCTCGGACGCTCACCTCTGCAGGACATATCTCGTACGTTCAGTATACAACAACATTAATGCACCATTCTGTTACATGTAGTGAACTACAGCAAAGGCTATGTTATATGGCATCCATGGAGAATGGAGGGTGCCGATTAGTCAAATATGCCAGTTATCTGAGAGTTCTACTTATGGTTCAACAAATTTGCCAAGTACATAACACTTTTCAAAAAAGAAACAACCTACATTTTAACTGTGATAGAAGACAATATACTTATTTACAGAGGTACACACCAGTCACTTGTAGAGCATTCCATGTTGATTGTAGAGAAGTAGCGGGTCCGTTTAGAGTTCAGTTCATTTTTTCAGTTTATTTATTTTGGTATAGCCCTGTGAGCCAATTCGGCTCTTGAATCAGGTGCAACCACAACAAACAAAAAACAAAAACACGAACAAGAAAACATCTTAAAGTGACTATGTGACTGCAAACAGAAAATTTATGGAAAAAAAACGGCAAAATATTCCTGAAAAAAAGCACCGTACACCAACGCTGTGTGCAAAAAATCCCAGTGGGATGCAAGTCAAACAACAACAACAACATATTCTTGGTTCTTTCGTTAAAGTCACGTAGAAGGGAAACACTAAAATAAAAATATATATAAAACAATATTTTATTGTTTCCCTTCTCGTGACTTTACCGAAAGAACCAAGAATATGAATCCCTGCAGTCACGAAAGCTTTAAATCAAAACAACAACAACCACAAGAAAACTTAGATTAAGGCCATCAGTCTAACTCCGTACTACAACAAAACAAACATGTCCAAACCAAAAAAACGTTTTCGAAATCACCAAAAAATAAAGCCATAATTGCAATGTAACAGTGATCATAGGGACTGGGACCGAATTTTTACAATAAACTACATAAATAACATGTAACACCAAATCCTAGAGCCATAGCTGGCTGCATGAGTTACTCCACAACAACAGAAGCATCAGTCGGAGTATCAAATTTTTCAATGCACCTTTAAGATCAGCACGCTAAATAAAAATACAGATAATATTTTGCAGCGCCAATGAATAGCAGTGGAAGCTAGGGGTGTACAACTCCTCTAGAGCAGTTTTGAGAGAAGATCTCATTGGTAGCGATTCAAGTTGCAGTTTATTGGCAATAGTATTCCAGACTCTGGGGGCATCAATAGCAAAGGCCCTTCCTCCAGTTTTTGTACGGCAATAGGGAATGTGAAGCTGGTAAATGAGCGAAGACCTAGGGTCAAATTTGTTCTTTGAAACAGAGAGGAGGTGCAGCAGGTAGTCTGCGGATTTTTTTGTAAGTACATCGAACATTAAGAGATGTTGAGTTTGACCCAATGTAGAGATCACAGTGGTGAGTCCTATATGGGCAGTTCAATGTAAATCTTAAGGCCGAGTGATAGATAGAATCAAGCTTCTTCAGTACAGTACTTGGGGCTGATTTATACACGATGTCACAGTAGTCAAGTAGAGGCAGTATGGTAGCTTTTATCAATTCCAAACGGAACATTGGGGGGAAGCAGTGCTTGTGTCGATACAGAAAACCAATTTTTGTTTTTCTACCAATATAATCAGTGTGATCTTCAAAATTCAGTTTTGAATCCAGGATGACCCCAAGATACTTATAGATCTTGACTTGCTCTATTTTATAATTATTTAAGGAATGTAATTGGGGAAAAATAACTTCCTGCTTTAATCCTGGTGAGAAGCATAGCACCTTGGTTTTGGAGGTATTCAGGACTAGTTTAAGAGCAACTAGCTGATGTAGTTTGTACAATATACAGTAGAACAGTACTGTATATACAGACTTACGCTAGCGTCACCACTCGGCAGCATCCTGAAGCTCCCATGAACAGATATATGCCAGATGGCTGTCGGGATTTTTCCAGATACATGAGGGAATATTTGTTTTGCCGTCTATGACAGATGCCGGTTAATAGATCTCTCCGGATGGAAATGTGCCTGTTGAGCGTGTTTGTAGCCTAATGAAATATCCATGTGCCTGAATATGATTTGGCATCTTCAGAGTTACTTGTTTAATTGTGCAAGAAAAATACACTAATAAAAAAAAAGTTGTTTAAATACTTTTAAGATGAGTATCCTTCACCTTTACACAGCTTTGAATAAACATCCTATATACAAGACATTTTTCCTTAAATTTCCATATTGTACTTTGTTATAACCTGTTGACCTGCCCATACTAGACGTGTATGAAAAAGAGCTTCATAGCTCATCAGATTCCTCCAATCTAAATAAAGATTCTGATTCTGTTAGGCTACGGTGCTGAGGCATGGCAGAATGTGCTATGTAAGGAACTAACTGCCTTAAGTCTCCACAAAATGAACCTCTTGTTCTGCCAATATGGTGTGGATTAACAGTTGAGCACCCTTCATGAATGTTAGCCCTGAGATTGTCTTTTAAAATGTAAACTGGTTTCTGTCTGTTTCATACAGCAAGAACTTTACATTCTTGGGGAGATGTCGCAGACAAAATACCGGGATGTCAACTCGGCCTTCCGTTCCTCTTTCATTCCATGCAACCTGATGGAGTCCTTGTGTATTGTTGATGACTTTGACAAGAGTGAAAAAACCAAGTCAATAAAAAATAATTCCAAAAAAGATAAAAAATTAAAGTCCAGTGAAAAAGGATCGATTAAAGGTGAGCTACTATTACAAAATGTTTTTAAGGTTATAATTTCGCAGTTAAATTCGAATTCGACAGACTTAAACGCGGCATCTGTAATCGCACAAATGACATAATTTTTGAAATTATTTCATGAAATGTACTTGCATATTTCGAACCTCCGATTGGCTCTACGATGCGAAAGTTCTACATACATACTCTTTGTTTCTTTCGGTAAAGTCACGTAGGTAGAAAATAAAATAAATCACGACGTTTCGGGCGCAACACAAGCGTCCGTCATCACGTGGGAAAGCTGAGGCAGATTGTTTTATGGATGCTTGTGTTTGATGGACGCTTGTGTCTTTAAACAGTCTGCCTCAACAGCAGACCATGCTTTCCCACCTGATGATGGATGCTTGTGTTGCGCCCGAAACGTCGTGATTTAATTTATTTTCTACCTACGTGACTTTACCGAAAGAACCAAAGAGTATGGATTCCTGCAGTCACGAAAGCTTAAAATCAAGATTCTACATACAGTTTGCAGTTAATGTATATTCCGTTAAGTGGTTTTCTACAAAAGCACTGTCATGGTAAGCCCATTTCAATGAACTTCACACTAGGAAATGTCTCTTCTATGTTAATTGTACACACTTTTGGTTGTCTTCATGCTACTTCTGGGAGCAGATTATTTTGGTTAATTCCTGAAAAGTTAATTTGAACTGTGAATACACGTAAATGTTTTGATTGTATTGTGGACCAAAAAAATACATTCATAATGAATAAGCAAAATTAATGTTTGGCATACAAAAGGCACAATTTAACATGTAAAATTAGCTAGAATTATTTCAAATTAGATTTATGTGGTTTCATGAATTTTTCATAATATATTAATATCTATTTCTTTGATTTTTCTGTGGAGTACATTCAATGTCAGTCACTTGGCATTTTTCTCTCATCAGTACAGATCATTTACTGCTTGAATATGAAAGGTTAAGTAGACTATTCTATATTTGCTGGTTTAAAGGTAGGTCCGAGCAGAACTCCACAAAATGTATGAAAGTTATGCAACCTCCACTGTGTTATTTAACAGGAAGCAAACTTCAATGTCCTGCCAAGCTGGCTTGTATTATAATGAAGAGCCAGGTGTTCATGTATCGGGAGCTTCTGCCCTGCTGCATGCTACATCCTCCACAACCCAAAGAGAAGATTTTTTTCACGAATGGAGAAGACAAGTAAGCCTTTCTGTTACATTTCTATCTCGAGACTCTCAACTAAGAACATGAAATTTCCGCAACAAATGTCATATACATGTCTCGCTCAGGGGGTGGATCGGAAGGTAGCGTCAGCGCTCAATCACAGGCAAGCTCTTCCAGCACATGAATGCTATTATTTTTCGTGGAGGTGAAGTTGGCTGGACTTTATTATACAAGGCAATTAATATGAACTGACCTACTGATTAACTCAAGTGATAAAGCTGGTGGTATTATGCTGATTGCCTAGGCTTTTGAGGTCCTCACAACTGTGATGCCTTATGGCAATTACCTTATTCTTTGAATTATGAGACGCTCCAGGAAGTACAGTGAGGGAAAAAAGTATTTGATCCCCTGCTGATTTTGTACGTTTGCCCACTGACAAAGAAATGATCAGTCTATAATTTTAATAGGTTTATTTGAACAGTGTGAGACAGAATAACAACAACAAAATCCAGAAAAACGCATGTCAAAAATGTTATAAATTGATTTGCATTTTAATGAGGGAAATAAGTATTTGACCCCCTCTCAATCAGAAAGATTTCTGTCTCCCAAATGTCTTTTATACAGGTAACGAGCTGAGATTAGGAGCACACTCTTAAAGGAAGTGCTCCTCATCTCAGCTTGTTACCTGTATAAAAGACACCTGTCCACAGAAGCAATCAATCAGATTCCAAACTCTCCACCATGGCCAAGACCAAAGAGCTCTCCAAGGATGTCAGGGACAAGATTGTAGACCTACACAAGGCTGGAATGGGCTACAAGACCATTGCCTAGCAGCTTGGTGAGAAGGTGACAACAGTTGGTGCGATGATTCGCAAATGGAAGAAACACAAAAGAACTGTCAATCTCCCTCGGTCTGGGGCTCCATGCAAGATTTCACCTCGTGGAGTTGCAATGATCATGAGAACGGTGAGAAATCAGCCCAGAACTACACGGGAGGATCTTGTCAATGATCTCAAGGCAGCTGGGACCATAGTCACCAAGAAAACAATTGGTTACACACTACGCCGTGAAGGACTGAAATCCTGCAGCGCCCGCAAGGTCCCCCTGCTCAAGAATGCACATATACATGCCCGTCTGAAGTTTGCCAATGAACATCTGAATAATTCAGAGGACAACTGGGTGAAAGTGTTGTGGTCAGATGAGACCAAAATGGAGCTCTTTGGCATTAACTCAACTCAACTCGCCGTGTTTGGAGGCGGAGGAATGCTGCCCTTGACCCCAAGAACACCATCCCCACCGTCAAACATGGAGGTGGAAACATGCTTTGGGGGTGTTTTTCTGCTAAGGGGACAGGAAAACTTCACTGCATTAAAGGGACGATGGACAGGGCCATGTACCGTCAAATCTTGGGTGAGAACCTCCTTCCCTCAGCCAGGGCATTGAAAATGGGTCGTAGATGGGTATTCCAGCATGGCAATGACCCAAAATACACGGCCAAGGCAACAAAGGAGTGGCTCAAGAAGAAGCACATTAAGGTCCTGGAGTGGCCTAGCGTGTCTTCAGACCTTAATCCCATAGAAAATATATGGAGGGAGCTGAAGGTTCGAGTTGCCAAACGTCAGCCTCGAAACTTGGAGAAGATCTGCAAAGAGGAGTGGGACAAAATCCCTCCTGAGATGTGTGCAAACCTGGTGGCCAACTACAAGAAACGTCTGACCTCTGTGATTGCCAACAAGGGTTTTGCCACCAAGTACTAAGTCATGTTTTGCAGAGGGGTCAAAAACTTATTTCCCTCATTAAAATTCAAATCAATTAATAACATTTTTGACATGCGTTTTTCCAGAGGTTTTTATTGTTATTCTGTCTCTCACTGTTCAAATAAACCTGCCATGAAAATTATAGACTGATCATTTCTTTGTCAGTGGGCAAACGTACAAAATCAGCAGGGGATCAAATACTTTTTCTCCTTACTGTAAGTCACACCACACACTTGTGCCCGGTGTCAATTAAATTATACAAATCCAGTCACACCAACCAGATCTTCAGAATGACCCCCAACGTTTGTGAAAAAAACACGGGGAAAATATCATCTTATCCTGAGAATGGTAGTTTGATCAGTTTGGTTCTTTATAGTTGATTTAATTTGTATTTTCTCGAAATATATAAGATTGAATATAAAGGCTGCACATATATAAACAAACATTTATTTTTCAATATATTTGTTTTTATTTTAAAGTAAAAACATGTTCCGTTAACAACATCTTAATCAGAAACTTTCAAAGCTCAGCAGCTGTGGTTGGTAACTACTGTGTTTTCATATAATTCAAAAAATGTGTTCGATAATTCTTACATTTTATATTATTTAACAACTAAAAAAGTAAAAACTATTCATATGGTATCTGAGTAATTACAGCATAATAGTTTTATGTTGCCGTAGTTATATCCTCCTCAGCCAGTCAGATCTAATCAGTATCAGAATCAGGTTTTATTTATCTTGTATAGGTTTATGTAGCACCCTTTCCCAAGGTGCTTTACAACAATTATACAATTGTACATAAAGATGATAGGAGTTGAAATAAAAGGTTATTAAAAGTAGTGGTGTAGTTATGGTGACAGAAGAACATGCAGAAGAGGTTTAGGAGGGGTTAGGGTGGGGCCTGGTCGTAGTTTGGGGGGTGGAGGCAGTGAGTAGCAAGTGAGCTTGGCTCAGGGAAGAGATGGGTTTTACAGGAAGAACGGATGCAGGTTAGTGAATATGATTTAATCGGACTGAATCTATTCACACTCAATCTGTGTACGTCTAATATTATTTAATGGAATGAATACTGGATTAATGTTTTTCAGGAATGCATTAAGACGTTTATTTTGTCAGCAGCATAGTGTCATCCAGTAGTATTTTAATTGTATTATATTACAAATAGTTATTTTATTTAGGTCACATGTTAAAGTACAATTCAATCTATGTTAACGTACAGTTACAGTTTTGACCTGCATAATACTGAAATGTCATAAGCCCTGAGTAAATTGTAACTCATAATAACAGATATATAATTTTAGTTTTTGCCTTTTCCCCCACATTTTCTTTAGTCTGTTGGTGTTGGGTCTCAAGCACTTTGAAAAAACATCCTGGCAAAAGACGCTCATCAGCCAGTACCTAATGCCTCCAAAATCTATGCAACAGATTTCCTTCAGGATTAAGAACTTGATGGCAGCACGCAGTAGCAACAATGTTGTAAAGGTAACGGTGGGGAAACTATAGTTTAAGCAACATTGTTCAGCAAAATCATTTTAAAAAACATGTATTCTTGATTTTTTCATATGGATCAGGCTTATTCTATTTCAGTTTTACATTTTGCAGATATGTCTATTTTGAATGCATAACTCCAAATTAAATTTGAGTAACTGTTTGATGGTGGTGCTCGTGGTGGTGCTGCTTCAGGATGCTTGGATTTAAAATTGGTTTGACTTAAAATATAGTCTCCTGTTCCTCCCAAGCAAAGTTGAATGGCATGAAACAAGGGGCACTTCCCTGCATCTGCAGGATGGTCCTGACATGGGAGGAGCCTTAATGTTTACCTCATTTTATTATATGGAAGGTGAACAGGGGAAGATAAGACAAACGGGCTGCAGTCAATCACTCGACAAAATAGTGTTGCAGAATAGAGCATTTGCTGACCCACATGATTTGGTTATGAATGAATGTGTTGAGTTTTCTTTTTTACTGATCCAACTCATCTGTTGTTGGAGTTCATTAAGAACAAGCCATGTCCAGATGATAAATAAAAATGAAGAATTACATTTCTTTTTAAAATTTGACATTGAGCATTAATGTTAATATGTTGCCTTAATTCAGTACCACGGTATTGTGCCACTGACCCTAAATATTATTGTACACTACTGGACCATATAGGGTCACAGTTTGCAAATGAAATGTATTTCCTTGCCATTATCCAATTGTTTGTGGATCCTTGAGAATCTTTATTTGGTGCATCCTTAAAAACAATGTATTTTGTGTTTTCGGCACACTGTCATGATGATATAGGCATGTGAAAGAATAAGGGAAGTCAATTGCAGCTTTGCTTTTTGCTTTGGTTAAATGAATGAATGCACATTATTGTCACCGCAGCTTGGTACACCAGATAATTAAACACTGGTCGCAGGTTACCTGCGCAGTGAATGTTTATTTTATTTTGTACATTGCAGACATACAAAAAGACTGGAGTAGTACCCGTGATGCCCAAGCCGTGTGTGGACGTGCTTCCTGAAGAAGCAGTTGCACCGATTGACAGAGATCCTCGAGACATTCCTCAGTGGCTCAGGGTAAGGATAAGTAGCCACGGCACGTGCACTGGTGTTATTCACTCATGAGTGACTCCAGACTATCATATTGTGATGTATGAAGTGGAATAAAAACATATTTCTATGTATACGCATGTATTTAATTATCATTTTACTATTTTGTTTATCATTAACTGCGAATGTGAAGAAAATGTATTTTTTGTATAACTGTTGGCTTATTTCGAAAAAAAATGCTAACTGGTATTCAACATGTTTAAGATAAGACTAGTGGTTTTATATGGCTGGTATTATTTTATGCGGAATCAACAATGACATTTACTTCCAATTACAATCATGTTTAATTTGTTTCCTCTGCTTCTTGATAAATAATAGTGCCTTTTACAGGAATATTGAGTAAATGGCAAACTTAATGTATATTACCAATGAAAGCGTCATTGAACCTCAACGACAAAACAAGTCGATGTGCAGGAGAGAACTTAAGCATGCTTAGAGAAAACCTCTCAAATCTGTACGCATCGGTTGACAATCTGTTTGTTGTACTGTCATGTACTGTCGACTTTTTATACCTGCACATTGGAGACCATTGGCACGTAATTTGCGTTATCCATCAATTACATTTGCCAAAGTAGTATATTTGTGAACTCCCATGACCATTTACCTTATTTTAGATTCATAAACCTACCGCTAACATATGATGAAAGTTGTGGTCCTATTGACAAATGCAGTTTTAAAGGATGTAGAATCCTTAACACTGCATGACATAAATTGTGTGCATTAGTGAGGTGCAATGGGTATTGTGGTATAATTTTGCTAAATTATGATTATACATGAGAATTGGCGAATATTTAAATTAAACGATTGCTTACAATGAACATAATTTCCTTTTTCTAAAGCAAAGTACAAACTGAAAGTGTTTTAAAAGATTGATAGTCGATCGGTAGTCGTTCTCTAACGGCATGTAGTGTCACCCATGGCAACATGGAGGAGTAGTTGTAAGTGAGATGGTTAAAGTGGACGTGTTGTTTTTCAGAGAGCTGTTATTAAATTTCTAGTGATGAAAGAAGGTTCTTCTGGCAGATGTGTTGCTGTGTATATATATGGGGCACCTGCATGCTGTGTAAAAGCAATGTCAGGAAGTAGACTTAAGGTTCCAGAAAGACAATATATACATTTCCTAATAGGCCTATGAGTGGATGAGTGGCTGACCAAAAATGCCCACAGCTCCAATAAATGCGTAGAGAGCAGAGGGAATTGTTCAGGCTGATGGATGAGTCAGCATTGGGGACATAGTTCATTCCAGATTGCTGGTCATATTGTGCAGGAAATATCTGACTTTCAATATCTTAAGATGTTACCACAATGAGTACTCAAAATGTTGACATGCTGAGCTATCTGCATATGTCAACATGTACAATATAGCATTTGTTTTTTTGCATAGTATCGTAATGGGAGACATCCTATTTTATGATTGTGACCTATAGTCCAACTGGCAAAGCATTGATTTTCATAATCATAATACCACTTTAGCTTAAGTAGAGAAAATGCAAGCCTGTGAGTTCTGCCAGTGAGGTTCTGGGTTGTGATATACCAAAATAGTGTTCTAGTCTATTGCTGATATAAAATTAGCATCATGCAATGGTATGCTGGGGATTACAGAGAGAAGTGACAGTACCATGGCTGAGTGAGGCTCTGTCAGGCACATGTCTACTGCTAGCACATTGCAAATAATGAGACTTTCATGAATACTTTTGGTACATCTCATAATAATGACTACATAATAACAAATGCCTTTTTACTTTTCTTAGAAATGTATTAGTGTTGTGAAATCACAACAAAATATAAAAGAAAGCGTCACTCCGCAATCGCCTCCAACGGCCCTTCCTGATGTAAACGAACAACTGCATGAAAATGAAACCGCGATGCCACAGTCACCTCCCAAGGTCACTGTCACTGAAGAAGACCCGCAATCAACCAAAGAAAGCAAACGTGTTGAAGACAGCAAAAGTCCACAGGGTGAAATGTTACAGAGTTCCATGCAAAGTGTCACCGTTATGGAAAATGACTTATTGGGCTGCTTCAACGTTGCGGGTGATGAAGGAGACCTAAAAGTCAATGCAACTGACAAAACGAGATCAGATTGTGAAGGAGGAGCACAGGTGGATGAGCAAGAAGAAGAAGAGCTCACACAGGAGGAGGAGGAGGAAGATGATTCTTCATCAGAGTCTGGAGATTCTGCACTCTCTGTCCCAGAACTACAGGTAACCCCCCCCCACCGGTTTTACAATTATTCATTCAAATGTTTGATCTACGTATATATCATATAGTGTGTTTAGAAATTGTATTATTTTAGTTGTCAAAGGTTTATCTATGTTTAAGCAGCATAATAATATTTGAGACTGTACTGTTACATTAATTGTGTGCAAATATCACTTTCATAAAATAATTACCAATGCTTGCCCGTAACAGTTGATATGAACAGTAAAAATACAAAGTTGTTATACTTCTCTTCTGCCTTAGGAAACTATTGATAAGTTGTCTTGGTTAGCTTCAGACACAAGGGCAAATAATCCAGGTGGTGATTCTGAAGATGATATAATATCTCAAGAGGAGACCTCTGAGCAAGATGAGGAAGAAGAAGAGACAACAGAACCTGCTCACAATGAGCAGGAAAATAAATGGAACCCTGTCATCCCTGCATTTTCCAGTAGTCCACCAGCTCCTGTCGAAGAAAGTGTCATCAGCAATGTTGAAATTGAGAGACAGCTGGATGTGGCTCCTAAGAAAAAAGTTGCAATCAAAGTCAAGCCTAAACGAACCAGGTATAGAGCATGTATGGATACATCAAAAATGTTGCTTTTACTAGGTGATGATATTTTGGAAACGGATCCACAACGTGATAAAAAGGATTTGATATTTGCTCAGGCATACTTGAATAAAGTGAAAGAGACCCTTCAACACACCCCTGGAAAGTATGAAGAGTTTTTGAAGATCTTACATAACTTTGAGATGAACCATGCTCATCGGTCAGTTGTGGACATGTATGAAGAGCTACACAATGCATTTAAAGAATGGCCTGAGCTCTTAAAAGAGTTTGCTGTGTTTCTATTGCCTGATCAAGCACTGGAGTGTGGACTGGTAAGTTATTTAATTATTGCTGCAAAGTAATATCACATCTCATTCATTAAACATATATGGTACCATTACTAGATAGATGTAGATACCATATTTGATATTGTATTTTTATGCAACATCACCCTGTCATTCTGTGGAAATGAAAATTTAAATACACGATAGTATGGCACGTTAACACTTCGCCTAGACTCATTCATTGCATCTGATACGAGTCGCGCGGCTTATGGGATTTTGTCATAGAAAACAAACCTGGTCCTTCCTGAACCATGTTGGCCTGGCTCAGCATGGCCCCAGCCTGGCTTGGTTGTATTTGGAAATGTCATATAAGACAAACATTCTGCCCTCTATCGTCTCTGAAGAGGGACCATCACTCTAACTTTTATTTTAAGACGGTATTAAAGACATCTTCTTGGTTCTTTCGGTAAAGTCACGTAGAAGGAAAACAATAAAATAATAAAAATATAAAAGAATAAAATTATCACGATGTTTCGACTGCAACACAAGCAATCATCATCAGGTGTGAAAACCACAACAAGAAAATTTAAAAAAAGTGGCGGTTTTTTAACGTGAGCACCACGGAGAGCGATTTGACAGTTTGTTCAGATGGACGAGTCCATCTATGTTCGGAAAAGAGGAGGGGGGAGACGAAAAATATGGATGCGGTCTGAAAGCCACCTTAAGCGTGATCAATCAATTAAGACCCGAAATGGTTTATCAAATCCTTCCAATGATTGCTAAGCCAAAATCCATCTTCTCGGTTTAAATTGTCTCTGTGTTTGTATATGTGGATAGCCTCATGAACGAATCTCTCATGGTAGCCAGATGGCTTGCAAAGAAAAAAAAAACCCCGCCACTTTTTTCAAATTTTCTTGTTGTGGTTTTCACACCTGATGATGATTGCTTGTGTTGCAGTCGAAACGTCATGAGAATTTTATTGTTTTATATTTGTATTATTTTATTGTTTCCCTTCTACGTGACTTTACTGAAAGAACCAAGAATATGAATCCCTGCAGTCACGAAAGCTTTAAATCAAAAGTATTAAAGACATCGGTGTTGTCAGTCTTTGGTTTAGACTTATAATAACAACATCATTCTTTGATGTTACATTTATTTTTACAATATTAGAGCTAACAGTGCTTTTTTATCAGTTTGAGGAACAGCAAGATTTTGAGAAAGGCAGAACGTTTCTGCGGCAACTGGAGATATGTTTTGGTGAAAATCCATCTTATTATCAGAAGATCGTCAAGGCTCTACAAAGTTGCGTGAAGTTTACCAACGAAGAAGTAAATGAGGTACATATGTATCACTTGTGCTCTGCATTACACATGATGTATCTATGTAAACTGATTGAGATTTCACACAATTGCTCTATAGGCATAATTGGTCTATTGCATACAATTGTCCATGCTGTGCTATCTGTATGGAGTTTAGTTTTACAATCTCTAAAGAGATTGAATGGTAATTAAATGGTAAAATGGTAAAACAACAAGGCAGTCTTCCATTAGACATTTATTGAAATAGCTGTACTACCCGGCTTCGCCCAGGACTTGGATCCACCACGCCTGTCTCCACAGTGGCGATGTTCACACCACAATAGTTACTCGTTTGAGGCTGAGTAGAACTAGGGGAGGCCCAGGACCGCTTCAAATAATCGTCACCGGTGGTGGCCCTGAGCGGGAATCGAACTCCGGTCGCCGGGTTCGTAGCGTAGCACGCGAATCACTACACAGTCCCCCCCCACACACAGGATAAAGACAATCCCCCGTGTAGCATGTAGGGAGCAAGTGCTGTTAGCGAGCACCTATGAAGGCCGGCACGGCACATGAGGGGGTGGGTGACAGCAGCACGCCCGGCCGCCTTTGTTTCCCCAGTGGCAATGTCCACACGCCACAGCAGTTACTCGTTTGAGGCTGAGTCGACCTAGGAGAGGCCCAGAAGCAGTTGAAATAATCGTCACCATTGGTGGCCATGGGCAGGAATCGAACTCGGCTCGCCGGGTTCGTAGCGCGGCGTGCTAACCACTACACTACAATGCGTTACGCTTCCACACGCGCGGGTCACGTGACAGATTTGACGTCACAGCTCACTTGCCGTGCAAAAAATATATGCATTATTGAGCTCCCCCCCCCAAAAAAAAGTGTATTTTTTTATTTTTGCATGGTGTACAGTCTGGAAAGTACACACATGGCAAATTTCCAGTTTGTTGCATGTCGGGAAATACGCTAAACGTTTTGAACAGACACACATATTCACAACTTTGCCTCTTATATATATGGAGATAAGCAATATTAAAAGCTGTCTGTGATCAGTTCTTATAAAATGATTGCGTTCATCTTTAATATCATGTATCATTGTCTAAGTCCATGAATAGAAACAAAATGCAAAAGATTGAATTTCCTATTTTTAAATATGGGGTTATTTTTCACTCATGTGATGCATAGAACAAGATGCATATAATAAGAGAAAGCCATACCATTTGGCACATGGTATGGTTTCTCTGACTATTATATGTAACGAGCCTTTTGCACATCCAAGGATGGGTGTATTGCAGTAAATCTGAAACTTGCAAGCGAAAATCAGACCGCGACGTGATATTCATTGCATCCATTCGTGTGCAATTTGTAAGGGTGCGGTGACACAGACCTATTTCATTTTAAGGTTATAATCCCTTGATCATCATGACGTCCTTTTTACTTTGATGTCTCAATAGCATTACGGAAATCGCATGACGTGAGGGTTCTGCCTTTGTAGTGAGGGTTGTAAGTTGACGCCGAGGAGGGGGGAGGAGGCGCCTCGGCCCCCCATGTGGAGTGCCGTCAGCCGCTAATTATTATGAATGGGGGGGGGGGTGTCCATTTGGAGGATGTCACCTTATAATGATTATTAATGAAGGGGGCTGTTCGATGGTGAGTGATGTCACCTGCTCATGATTATTAATGAGGGGGGGGGGAGGGTGTGATCCCTGACATGCAATACCCCGGCGTCTACAAACTAAGCTGTGTCTGCGGCAGTAGTTACATTGGGGAAATTAAGCAACATGTCTCGGACCGTGTTCGTGAACATAAGGCAGATCTAAAACACGGTAGGACCAATACCTCGGCCGTGGCTGATCATTGTTTTAATGCGGTGGGCTCCCACAAAATTGATTTCTCTAAGACGAAGGTACTTTACAAACCCACTGGCTATCAACAAAGATTCGTTCATGAAGCCAACTTCAATCGAGAAGATGGGTAGAAGATGGGTATTAACTGAGAAATCATTGGAAGGACGTTATCAACCAGTTAAAGTAATAACTGGCTGTGATGTTCCCATCCTACCACCTTCCGACGTTAGTTGTTGTTTTCGGCTCTCTGATTTTACATTAACAGGTCAAATTTCCCACACTAACACAGCTACCGAGCTCGACGTTGCAGCTCTGCGACCTTCTATGAACATGTTCATCTCTGATTTAAAGCTTTCGTGACTGCAGTAATTCATATTCTTAGTTCTTTCGGGTAAAGTCGCGTTGAAGGGAAACAATAAAATAATAAAATATATATAAAACAATAAAAAATTCTCACGACGTTTGTGTTATGGTCGAAACGTCGTGAGAATTTTTATTGTTTTATATATATATTTTTTATTATTTTATTGTTTCCCTTCAACGTGACTTTACCGAAAGAACTAAGAATACGCTCATCTCTCACATTAACATCGCCACCTCTGTGTGCTCGTCGTGGAGGTCGCCCTCTGATTTCACATTAACATGCTAATTTCTCACATTAACATCACTAGCCCCGCCTACTCCGTTTATGGCCCTTGGGCTACACCCACTTTCGACCTTTAAAACAGTCTGCCTCAGCAGCTTTCCCCCTATTTTTTTCCTCCTGATGACAATCGCTTGTGTTGTGATCGAAACGTCGTAGTTTTTTTGTAAAATTTTTTGTTATTTTTTTTACCTATCTACATGACTTTACCGAACGACCCATAGAATATGAATTCCTGCAGTCACAAAAGCTTTAAATCAAGGATGTAACCTGTTCATGATTATTAATGAGGGGGTCTGGTCGATGTGGAGTGATGTCACGAGCATTAAGGACATTCCTGGGTGATTATAGTAGGTATTCTTGCAGATAATATGATTATATGTAATTTTCAGTGGAGTGTTCTACCTCATGGCACTTGTGGTCACTACAAACAAAGTAAAAAAAACACATTTGTCAGTATTATTAGTTCAGTTTGTTACGTTTATTACATGCATGATTTCATTTAGCCAGTTGCTCGGCTGTTTTACAAGGGAGATCCGTGGTACATGATCATAGGGAGCAACAAAAACACAAACTCACTATTGCAGAGAACGAGTACAGGGTCCTTAAGGAGGTTTGCACTACTAACAATTAAATATGATGGTTGTAAAAGAAACACACGATATTAAATAAATGTCCAAGTTAGCTCTGTGTTTTAGCCGTGTAGGGAAATAAATAGGGGAAGTGAAAGGAGGGAACACAGCTGTAGTTGAGCGGCAAGAGTATTCCAGAAACGTCGAGCAGCAACGCGGAAATATTTTTAAACAAAGTTTTAGCACATGGAATAAGCAGGCACGTCTAATCTTATGGGAGGGAGTGGTCCTATAGCTAATAGGCAGATTTGTTGAAGAAGACCTTAAGGATGAAGACAGTCCAGTGATGGTCTCAAAAGAGATTCAGGGGAAAACAGATTTAAATATTGGATCTCCACACATTCATCTCTGCATACAAAGCTAGCAGGTAAATATAAGTGCTGTGCAGTGATTCATTCATGGACATATAAGACGCCCGCCATGTATCATACCACTTTCATCGTCGTGACCATTAACATAAGTGGCTTAAAGGGGTATTTGAAGCTGCTATTATGGGAAGCAATGTTGAAAGTGCAATCTACAGCTCATGATGGTGAAGTAACTTGTCCTTGAGTACAGAATTAATAAGGCACGTTTTACCGTGAACCGTTTTTTCAACATGAAGCCTTCCGCTCCTTTATTAAATAAGTATACTCTTGAGTTTTTAGATTTAACATGAACTATTACGCCACTCCATTTCTAAAACACTTATTCACGAATACATATGTAAATAGCATGTGTCATGGTCTTTATAAGTGCTATTGTAAACGTGCTCTAATATTTTAATGTAATTAAAAATTCTGAATGCACCACCTACAATTTGGTGCAGTGAAGTATTATCCTATTTTATTCAGATGTTATGACTAATAATATTTTCAAGTCAGTCTTTCTGCAGGTAGACTAATACATTTCTTCTTTTATGTTAAATAATGATTGTTTTGAATGCAGCACCAACTTGATGGTTGGACTATATTTAAAATCACAATTCGGAACCCATTTTTATGTAAAGGGAGTCGTCGCATTTGCGTTCCTGAAAACTGCGACTTTAAGCGAACGACGTTTCGTGAACCTATTTTCCCCACGAGAAATAAAGTAAAGTCGGAGGTTATGTTCCATAGTACTTTTTTACCAGACAAAAACACAGTTACAAGTTGAACTATAGCATAAAAGAAATGCATATGAAAGAAATATAAATTCTAATAAAGAAATACACAGTTTAATAAGATAACACTCACCAATTATCCTGAGTTACTCTCCCATTTATCACAATGTGAAGCTGAGCTGCCCATTATTTGTGTTAACTTGAATTGCATTTGACATATTTCTTTGGTTGTTTACATATGAGTACAATAGTCACCTGAAAACCCTGTTTCGTGTTTCCATAACCTAATGCTTCTATGATCAGTCTAAAGGTAACACTGGTCTACAATTTTTTAGATGTCGTCTGCTTCAGAGATGAAATGTGCTGTTTATTGTAGATTTTGATGTGCTGAATTCAAATATGACAATTAAAACAACTGATTGGCTACTGTTCCCAAGATATTAACGTTTTTACATTTTACGTCTATGTATATTGTGTAGATAGAGTTTTACTCATAAATTGTAAACCTAGGTCTTTTCATGTGTTTATGGTTGCTTTATATGATAACATGTCACCTATCCTTTTCATGTAACACTTTAAAAATCAGCGAAGGGGCTATATAAATAAAATGTATTATGAAACAAAATGCAAAACCTATTATGTAAAGAAAGTACATAGTTTAGTTCTTATTCAGTGTCGACTGGGCACTTCTTGGCTTGTCTCGTATTCATTAAATGGAGCATCTCTTGTCACTGTCCAGCAATAATCTACAAGCATTGATGAGCAGAGCAAACAGCAGCAGTACTTCGTGTATCCAGTCTGCAGACCAAGCAAGACAGCAACCACCTTTCAAATCGCCACAGAGCTGCCACTGATGTTGGTCATAGTGTATGCTCCTCAAAAGTTTCATGTTGTCATAGGTTTCCTTCATATGTACTGCATGACCAACTGGAATTGATATCAAAACCTTGCCATTATGCAGCAAAACAGCTTTAAGACTCCTCTTCGATGAATCAATGAACAGTCTCCACTCATCTGGATCATGAACGATGTTGAGGGCTTCCATCACACCATCGATGTTGTTGGAGGCTACAAAATCACCTTCCATGAAGAAGAATGGGACCAGATCCTTTTAATGGCCACGGAACATGGAAACCCTAACATCACATGCCAGGAGATTCTACTGCTGCAGTCTGGAGCCCAACAGCTCTGCCTTACTCTTGGGTAGTTCCAAATCCCTGACAAGGTCTTTCAGTTCACCTTGTGCTATGAGGTGTGGTTCAGAGGAAGATTGGAGACAATCTGGGTCATGTGACCTTGACGGTTCAGGACCAGAAGTTTCATCCTCATCTGACTCAAGTGAGAATGATTCTGGTGCATCAGGAATCGGCAGTACTCCGTGGGGTACTGGGCGTATAGCTGATGGAATGTTTGGATAATGCAGTCCACTTTTTCTTCTTTGACACACCTTTCCCAACTGGAGGTGCCATGCAGAAGTTACAATTGCTGATATTATCTGTTGGCTCTCTCCAAATCATTGGCACTGCAAAAGGCATAGATTTCCTTTTCCTGTTCAACCACTGGCGAAGATTTATTGCATAAGTGTTGCAGCATATGCATGGGGCCCACATCTTGTGCTGTTCTCCAATTTTGCAGCCAAAATAAAGGTGATAGGCTTTCTTAATCATAGTGGTTATACTCGATATTGTGGCACAAAAGTCACTTCACAATCTTAGCAGAAGTTATCTGCTTTGTTAACACAAGTACGAGGCATCTCTGCTAACTTTGGCTAAACAGAAATGTGTCCCTTTGGAAAATCAAACACTGACAAATAAGAGAGCACGACACTTTGATTTCGAGAGCTGATATAGGGCAATTTGTTCAGTAGAGGGATGTAAGCCTAGTTATGATTGCATCATCCATGACTTATAGGAATAACATGATGCAATTCATATTATGTATGATGCAATACCAGGTTCAGATTGCATCATTCATTATTTTGCTCAAAAATCAAGTACTGTCCAAACCCAGTCATAGATTTATTCATAGATCCAGTCAAAGATGTATTTTAGTTCTGGTTTCAATTTAGGTCCCCTTCCCGTTATAACTCACTTATCCTATGCCATTCCCAAGTCAAGGGTCGTATATACTGACCCAGTAGCATATCTTGAAAACTAGAGCCAATAAACAATTTTAAGAATAATCTTTGGTTCTTTTGGTAAAGTCACGTAGGTATAAAATAAAATAAATCTCGACGTTTCGGGCACAACACAAGCGTCCGTCATCAGGTGGGAAAGCTTTTCCGAAAGAACCAAAGAGTATGGATTCCTGCAGTCACGATTGCTTTAAATACATTTTAAGCATAATTTTTATTCTCAGTGATCCAGAATTAGTCAAGTTGGACTACGTTTATTTCGGAAGCATTTTGGCTGTAGACCAGTGTAATCTGCCCGAATTGACAATGTGCTTTATGGTATTTAGTATTTAACATTGATTTATTTTTGTGCACTATTTTCGTTTTCTCATTGGACACAGTTTTTAACCTGGTTTCTATTTGCTTCAGCACTGTACTTCATCGCTCTACTTTATTCTATTTGTATTGCTTGTATCATGTTAGTGACCTAGGTCAATATCACAAATGAGGCGATACAGCAGTGCCTCGGTTAACGTTTTCAATCCGTTCCACGAAATACCTGTTAACCGAAATAACTGTTAATCAAATATTTAAAAAAAATCACTGAATCTGCAAGAGAGCTGTTTCCACTGCCAAAATAGAAAACAATGTAAACAAAGCCAGTCGATGTATAAACGCTCATAAATGGGCATCTCTGATTGACTTTGGGCATGCTCAGCCCACTTACGAGCACTTGGATTGGCCGAAATTGGCACCTGCGTGCATAACGTAAACATACCGTTAATCTAAATTTTCACTTTAGTCGAAACCATGGCGTGCTATGGGAGGTGAAATTTTAACCGAGGAACTACTGTCCTGGTCTTTTGGATTCTCACCTGGTTAACTTGACATTCAAAATGGTCTAATTCCACTTAAAAAAACACGCATGTTAACCTGATGCAAATATTACTTACATAAATTAAACTTTTTTTAGGAAAAAAAAACCCGGGCCATACCTTTCTAACTGCACAGGGATGAAAATGTTGGTCATCGAGCTGCCACAACTGATTTCCCTCCCACCTGCTGAACTCTTCTCTGCAGTGTTGTGACCAGCAACTAAATACGAATCCTAATTCCTAAACACCACACCTTCTGCTTATTTCAATATAATACATTTGTGTTAAAATGAAGGTACACAAGGCATGCAACATAATATTTTTTTTTTTATTTTAAAAGAATAGTGAAACATCTTGAAGCTGAGCTCGTTTGGGAGAGCCTTTCTAGTTATGGGGGATGTCCGGCATACTGAAAATGTAAAAATACTGAAGAACCTTTAATATTGCGGGTTTATCGTTCGCAGATTTGACCTGTCGCGGGCAACCTCTTTGTATACCAATTTAGCTCTCACGGGTATTCGCTTCTGGCTTTCGCAGGTATATTTTACACAGATTTACTGTATCGCACAAGTACTTTATCATGGTGTTGTGTGACTGATACCGTGGTATGGGGCGGGTGAGGGACACAAAGCAATCAGTCGCACTTCTGTCTTTGCTGTGCAAGCATTTCACGGACAAAGACAAAGATCCCCGTTTAACATTAACAGACTGTTGGGGCACGTGCTATTAGCGAGTATCTGTGTGTCATTCCGACCTTCATGAGTGGGTGTGTGGCGAGCACCACGCCCGACCGCCTTTGTCTCCCCAGTGACGATGTTTACACATCGCACCAGGTACTCATTTGAGGCTGAGTCGACCTAGGGGAGGCCCAGGACCGATTCCGATAATCGTCACTGGTGTTAGGCGTGAGCGAGTTTCGAATTCTGGTTTTCGGGTTTGTAACGCAGCGCGCTAACCGTTGCACTACCGCTCTCCACTCGCGGACAAACAAGCACACACCCGCTTGGATCATCATCATCATCATCGGTAAGTACAGTATTTATAATACTAGTTTTTGTCTAGAAATGTTTTATTGTACAGGGTTCTTACGTGTTTATTTCAATCACTTTGTTTTTAGTTTACGTGGTATAAAGTACGGTACTTATTTCAGTTGTGGTGTGTCTATTATTGTTTGCCGTGTACCTAAACCCCATTACAGTATTTAGGTAAGGCTTAAATATTGAATATCGCGGTTTTGGCTTTCGTGGCACTTTTCAAGAATGTAACCCCCGCGATATTCAAGGGCCTTCTGTAACACATTATTAAAGTGTAACTACAATGGCACCACGGTGGCAAGATGTTAACTACCTCGCGTGGTATACAGGAGGTCGTGGGTTCGATCCCGACCCTGAAGCTTGCTGCTGTATATTTTGAGTTTTCATGTTCTCCCCGTTGTCACGTGGATTTTTCTCTGGGCCCTCCGATTTTTCCCTCCACATTTAGAAACATGTTTTTAAATTATTTGGCTGCTATAAATTTCCACGTGATAATACTCTTCGTTGAGCTATCATTTGTGGCCAGGTCACTGCTGAAAAAGAGCTATATAGATCAGTGGGCCTTACCTGGTAAAATAAAAAAAATAGTTTCTCGTTTTTAACAATTACATTATTAACACCTCATGCATTTAATTAATCACTTAATATACAAAAACTAAATATTTACAACATTTTTTTTTACAATTTAATACCACTTAAAAATCATGACGTACAGTTTAATCCAAGTCACTTGCCATCACTGTGAAGCAGAGGTGGAAGATTGAGGATGCACTCGAAGTAAAAAGCTGAAGGTATAATTTTTATTACAAAGACACTTCTCAGTCTTAATGAGTGCATCTAGAATTTTGTACACAAGAGTAGCCTAGAGCTATTTTGTCAAACAGTGTTCAGGTCATAGTTTTTTGGCAGTCTGCACTGTGTGATTATTTATTTCGGCACCCTTTTCAGCTTAATCCACCTGCCCTAAATGACATTGCCGAGGTGAATGGAAATATCACAACTTTAGTTGTAATATTTACATTCACTTCTAAGAGCTATGACTTATTAATCACTGTTAGGATTATTTGGAAACTCTTATCTTAAGGGGTTTTAGGAAGTGGTGGGGGGGGTCCCCCTCCCTCTCAGTCCCCACCCCTGGGGGCTCTGGGGTGTCAACCTCTGGTCACGGAGGGGCGGGGGGAGGGTGGAAGGCTCTTATCTTAAGGGATCGTATGGAGGGGGGGGTCCCCCTCAGCCCCCACCCCTGTCGGCCCGTGAGCGTGGTGGCAGATCAGCTGCCCACAGCGTCTTATTACAGCGCAACATCACCTGGGGGGCGTACATGTTTGTGAGGGGCGCACCTCTGGTTGGCTGCTTGCTCGCGGTCACGTGACGCACTTCAACCAATCCCCGTGCCGCGTTAATCACAATGACAGTCACAGAATGACAGACCTGAGGGTTTATATATTTATTATAACTTGCTTATATTTCGTCACAATGTTTAAAGCCTCACTTGTGAGCCTCACTTGTGAGGCTTTAAACATTGTTCTCACATGTATTTGATTTCATTTCATTTCAGCTGAAAACACAGATGTGGCACCTTATGAAAAACCATAATTATCTTCAGGATGTGTTCTCCATGTTTTTTGATCACTTGAAGCCACCAACAAGCAGAATGGATGACTTTGAGGAAGTAAATTGGACAGATGAAAAAGAGTATAAGGTATTGTCAATACATTACTTGACCTTATAGATGACTTGTGGCAGAATGTCATAATTTTAACAACATATGTTATTACCAATTTTTGAAAAAAACATGACAAATGAATTGAATCTTGTCTTCACATGCATTGTTTGATTTTGGTGCATAAATCTAGATGTGTATTAATAACGATCCATCCCACCTCCACTCCCCAGGAATTGAATGAATTGTTATAATATTGGGTGAAAGGTAGATTCAAGGATGAATGATTTCCCTAATTTTTGTACCATATCAGCGGTATTGTCTGACTTGTTTTGTAATGTTATATTGTGTGCATTCTAGTATTTTAAAGGTAGATAGCATATAGGTTGCATACATCGTAAACAGTTTGATAAATGTATCTTGAGTACAGCCTCGTCTGGAATTGTAATTTAAATCATGTATACTTTTCTTGGTGGGATTGACAACGCTGTGGAATTGTGGCAGGGGTCATGGAATCATGGAGATAAGGCTATGTAGAGCCTGGGGCCTAGCCAGCCTATTGGAATTGTCATATAAAAAACGTATGGCGATACCTAGGTAATACATTTGAATATTCATTCTGGTAGATACCGGCTGGCACGTTATGAACCCCTAAGTTTATGGCGTAGCATTTACATGGAGGAGTTATATATTTGTGTGTATATATATCTTTGCCTATGCACTTAACTGCTCTGTGCATCCTGGTCAAACATGGGCTTGGGTAAGGACCATCTCCAAGCTGGCCAAGATGAGGCCGTCTGGGCTACATGGACAATGCATTTTAATAGCCACATGGAATAATCCAGGCTTTCTATTCTGGCCAGCTATGAACAGTGATGTTTAAGTAAACTAACTAGCTAGATTGCAATAGCATAGCAATATAATTCCATTATATTGCACAGCCTCTCTGTTAGAATCTATTTCGAGTGAATAGAGATTTTCACGATGAATTTCCCATCGAAGAATTGTGATTCCTGTAAAATTCTTCTCGGGTGGAATTGCATGAATGGAATAGTGATTCCGTGTATGAGTCACCCAGCTCTTATGTTGAGAGAAAAAAATCTATTTTAATCAATAAGCTGTTACATTCCTGCCGAATTCATTTAAATTGCACTCCCTGAAACTTCCAATATTCTCAGGCTGCTCTTTTTAGAATATAAACGAGCAGTAATAATTTATTAAATAAATCATTCCTCTTACAAGCAATTATGTGTCCCTCCTGCATAGGAACATGATGCATGCTGCCGAATAGGGCACAGTATTGTCACTGATTATGTTCAGTTTGTGTCATACTAGGAAAGGGGGGGCTCATTCACCTTACCTTTTCTGCATAATCCCACGGAGATTAAGTGAATGATAAAAAAAAACATCCTCTGGTCTCAATTATCTTTCAGATAATAACGTGTGCTGTGTCTGTCTTAGCCCCATGCGCTTTAGAAATACATTAAAGGTGTTTCTTTGCCTGATGTATAGTTTGTGTTTTCTCACTTAAAATCTGCCCTGCAGATAGCATTGTTTAATTCCACATTTGATAAATGTAATCTGATTTTAAATCATGTGCAATGTCACGCATGATTCTCTGCAGCACAGTTACACATTTGCACAGAAGTCCTGCGGATATCAGCATATAGTGTATGTTTCAGGCTGCAGACTATAAAAAGGGTGAATCCTTTGTTTTTACAATGATGTTGGACTTATTCCCTCTAATAATGCACACGGAAGGAAGCTCATAGCCCTGGAAAGTTGACTTCCCCTCCCAACCCTCGTGGAAATTTGCAGAAATTAAAGTGAAGAATGTCAAGTTGAACTGTCTAAAGTGCACGTCACTTTTCCTTTTTTTGACAGTATGTGATGCTCAGGTGGTAGGACATAAGTGATTTGACATTGAATGGCCTGCAGCCTGCCCACACATGTATACAATTCCACGAATGAGTCATATGTCCATTATTCCCAAATGATAATTATTTGAAGTCCTGCACATTTCCAATCCCACACATCCAGGCATGAGTGGTGCTTAGTGTTGTTACTAGGGGCAAAATAAGGAAAAGGTGCATCTTCTAATGTAATTGGCAGCAATGGAAATCAATTTGAGCTGCTCTTTGAATGAGTTGCTTTTGGTAATTGTATGTCATTGATTTGCTTTTTCAATAAATTACCTAAAATTAAAATGCCCAAAGTTTTCACATATCCTTTGGAATTATTGTAATGTGTTGCTGGAGTTGGACAATATAACATTGAATTTTAAACACTTGTAAATTTAACACAGCAAGCACATGATATGATTGAACTCAAAATATACCATGTATTGTGTATCAGTTTTAAATTTACCATGGTACTAGAAGGTTAGTTTGTTTTAAAACGTAATTCATTCGAAGCTTTTCACGTGACTTGTTAAGAATTCTGATATTTTTAAAAAAAGCTAATTATAAAATTGACCTGACATTTTTCAGTTTGATGGATTTGAAGAAGTTGTTTTGCCAAAGTTGAAGAAATACAATAAAGAGAAGAACAAGGACGGTCCATCGAGCAGTGGAAAGGTGTGTTGTCTAATTTGGGCACCTTGTCCTTTCCGTGTACAGTCTGTTCTCAGATCAGACGGTAGTTTCGTTCCTGAAGAATTACCGCATTATGGAAAAATCGCATTATCATAACTGACGATTCAATGGGAAATTAATGGGTTAGGAGGTAGTAGGTTTTGAAAACAACAACATGACGTTTTTCGAATAATATTTGGTAAAGTACATTCCGCGATAACACGTGAGATGCGTATGCAGGCTGAACAAAGACTGAGGCACGTGAGTAGCATTTATAAGCATAAAGCAGCATCCCGCCGTGTGTGATGCTATGCCGATGCAGCCGCATAATGGATTATTCCTACTCGTGCGACGTAGTTCTGTTCACTTAGTCGCGTAATATCCAATTTGCATCCGCGTCATAAAAAAATGTGTTTCCTGATATATCAAATTCGTGTTATGAAAACACTCGATATAGCAGAACGGACTATCCATGCAATGTGATATACTCTTTATGAATGAATATTTTTTATTTAATTTTTAAACAGGATGACATTTCCACTGCAGGGGCAAAGCCCTGCACCTGTACGTGTCATGAAGTAACTAACACCGAGCTGAAACCTAAGAAATGCAAGAAAAGGTGTCTGATTTGTGTAAACAAGGTACATTTATGGAATTCATCATGCGTGACCTCTTTACATTTATTCAATGTTTGATCTCGTGTTTGCTCGTTTTTATTGTTTGGTTATAGCTTTTTCCAACAACAAAACATTCAAGGGTACGTTGGTGACAAACTCATCATAATTTAATATGAATATATGACTATTCTTGAGGATATAAAATGACTATCTAATCTGATATTTTTTTCATGCTAAATATATTACTGTTTATTTTCTAACTTATTTCATGGGAGTGACTTTATTGAACAACTATTGAACTTGACTTTATTGAACAACTATCAAACTTTGCATCATCTTGCGATATAAGTATTTTTTTGTCTGTCTGTGTGTCCATCTGTCTGTGTATGCAACTTGCGACGGATTTAACTAACAAAATGTGGGGTTTACGTTTAAGACAAAGTACCCAGATACCACGCGATCTAACCCAAAAACCTTTATTATGAATCAGTAGCTACTACTGTAGAGTCTGTAGTTACGACTATAGTCAGTAGATACTACTATAGAGTCAGTAGTTACTACTATAATCGGTAGATATTGCTATAATCAGCAGATACTGCTATAGAGTCTGCAGATACTGCTATAGAGTCTGCAGATACTGCTATAGTCTGCAGATATGCTATAGAGTCAGCAGATACTACTATAAAGTTAATAGTTACTACTATAGCCAGTTGATACTACTATATAGTCAGTAGATGCTACTACAGTAAGTATATACTGCTGTAGAGTGGGTAGATACGACTATATAGTCAGTAGATACTACTACAGTCAGTATATACTGCTATATAGTCGGTAGATACGACTATAGAGTCAGTAGATACTGCTATAGAGTTAGTAGTTACTACTATAGTCAGTAGATACTACTATCGTCAGTAATTACTACTATAGAGTCGGTAGACACTACCGTAGAGTCGGTAGATACTACTATAGAGTCGGTAGATACTACTATAGAGTCGATAGATACTACTATAGAGTCGGTAGATAATACTAGAGTCAGTAGTTTCCACTACAGTCACTATATACTTCTGCAGACTTAGTGAATTCGACTATAGAGTCAGTAGATACTGCTATAGAGTCAGCAGATACTACTATAGATTCAGTGGATACTATAATCTTTAGATACTACTGTAAAGCCAGTATTTACTACTATAGAGTTGGCAGATACTTCTATAGAGTCGGCAGATACTACAGTCAGTAGATACCACTACGGTCAGTAAATACTGCTACAGTCAGTAGATACTACTATTGAGTCAGTAGATACTACTATACAGTCAGTAGATACTACTATTGAGTCAGTAGATACTACTATAGAGTCGGCAGATAATACTATAGAGTCAGTAGATAATACTACAGTCTGTAGATACTACTGTATAGTTAGTAGATAATACTACAGTCAGATACTACTGTATAGTTAGTAGATACTACTACAGTCAGTAGATAATACTGTATAGTTAGTAGATACTAAATTTCGATTTAAAGCTTTCGTGACTGCAAGGATTCATCTTATTTGGTTCTTTCGGTAAAGTCACGTAGAATGAGAATAAAATAATAAAATAAAACAAAATTCTCACGACGTTTTGGCCACAACACAAGTGGCCTTCTTCAGGTGAAAGGAACAAACCTGTCAGGACGACAGGTTTGTTCTACCTGTCAGGACGACAGGTTTGTTCTACTACTACTATCGAGTTGGCAGATGCTACTAGAGTCAGTAGATACTACTATCGTGTCGGCAGATGCTACTATCGTCAGTAGTTACTACTATAGAGTTGCCAGATGCTACTATCGAATCAGTAAATGCCACTATAGTCAGTAGATAATACTACAGTCAGTAGATACCACTATAGTCAGTATATACTGCTGCAGAGTCAGTGAATATGACTATAGAGATAGTAGATACTGCTATAGTCAGCAGATACTGCTATAGAGTCTGTAGATACTGCTATAGAGTCAGCAGATACTACTGTTGCATTAGTAGTTACTACTATAGAGTTGGTAGATACTACTGTAGGGTCAGGAGATACTACAACGGTCAGTAGTTACTACTACAGTAAGTAGATACTACTAAACAGTCAGTAGCTACTACTGGGCTCAGTAGATACTACTGTAAAGTCAGTAGCTACAACATCAGAGTCAAATTTGACTAAATCTTGTTCAATTTGATGTGCTTCTCCATCTCTCTGTGTTTCCTCTCTCTCCTAAATTTAGCTCTTCTATACCTGATGATACTATTATAGAGTCAGTAGTAACAACTGTAGAGTTGCTAGGTACTACTCTATTGTATGTAGGGTGTGTAGGTATATATGCCTACGCGGGGATAAAAATATTTTTTGAGCGGGGGGTGTCGACAATTTTCGGAAACCTTTAGATCAACTATTTACCCCCCACTTTCTATAACTTTTTGGACTTCTGCAAGCCTCTTATAATTTTGTTGATGGACAAATGGGCAGACAAACGGCACGCCGGGCTTTCACAATAGCTTAGTATTTGTGTATGTTATGTTTTTACGAGAAGTTTTGAAAAATATTTTTCCCCCGGGCAACGCCGGGTAATTCCTGCTTGTCTTCAATAAAGTGGACTAAAGACCATGTAATGTTAACCAGTATGTGTTGGTATCACGTACACATTTGTTGAATCACTAAGAATATGTACAATTATTGTTTTGTGAATTAAATCCAGTCGGCTGAACATACCTTAGAAGTAAATGCAATGTTCTGGAAAAACTGTTTTAAATTAAGTACGTTTTCGTATGTTTTAGATTTCCGGAAATGTGAAAATTGGAAAACGTAAAGAAATTGAGCATCTATCTCGGCTGACTGAACAAGACCCTCCTACTCAAGTTACAGAAAGCCTCTCTCCCTTGAAAAAATCTGAGGGGTTTCATAACAACATAGACGATGATGGAAAATATTCTGTAATTTTACAGACTCACAAGAACACAGACTTTGTACAGACTAATGAGGCTAATTTTGACAGTCCTGTTTTAGAGTGTCAGAGCATTGTCCAGACTGGACCAACTGTTGATAGTCCCACGAGAGACCATAAATCCACCCCTACATGTCTGCATAAATCCGAGAGGACTCCATCTGATGAAAAATCACTGAGAGTTTCACTGGACGCAAATTCTGCCGATGAAAAGACAAGTAAAACCCAGCTTGAGTCATGCAGTCAACCGAAGCAAAGCAGCTCTCGGAGAGAAACAACCACAGAATGTGCCACAGAAATTGTTTCGTCACTTGCCAGATCAGTCAAGGCCAAGGAACATGGCAGCGGCACTGTACAAAGCGGTAACAGCAAGCATCAGGCTGAGCCTTTGGAGCGTCTACATGTGGTGTGTGCCAAAAACAGCACAGTGAGCTCTACGGGGGAGCTCGTGGTGTTGTGGACCAGGTGAGCAATATGTTGTGATTATTACGTGTGAATGTCAACAGAAAACACAAGAAATCACTATCAAACACTAGTCGATCCATTTAGAGCTAGTTTCTGCAATATCTGCTTTCGTTATGGTGTCCACTGAAGGTGTTAATATTCGTGAAATGAAATAAATAAATATCTAAATATTTTTCTGAATGGACCAATTTTACTAATGCATGCTAAAAAATGGAAAAAGCAAACTCAATTCGTCTCCCTCCAATTTTGCTTGGTAAAGCATCGCATGAGCATTGTGGCTTGGGTTTACGTGGGAGGTATAATTTGCAAATGAAACAGATTTCAATGCTTCATTATGAATTCTCATTATAGTAATGCTCTGCTCCTATTCTTTTACATGACCAGCATACCACGAAGGTTGTTAACAATATCAATATACTCGACTGTGATATTCAAAGCAGGGTATTTCCTTTTTGTAGACATATTTTTATAATGATATGCTGCCAGTAATTTCTAATGTACATCAACATGCTGTTATTTTATTTGAAACCTATTTTGAAACAATCTTTTGAATAAAATCTTTACTTGAATAGATGTAGGTTTTAAAATAATAACTTTTGCTGATTTTTGCAGTTATGTCTTATTTTCTGTTGCTTCGTGTTATTTTGAACATGTTCTGCATTACAATATTTGTTCCTCGTTTTCATATTTTGATACATATTTTATGCCTTGCAAAATTAGCTCAGTGAGCCAAAATCAAAACCTGGAAATGTTCAGAGTATGAAATATTTTACTAGCATTGGATAGGCTGCTATGACCATAATTTAGGCTGCTGCAGAGATGTGGCATCTCTGATGGGATTTTTTTTTATATACCCGTTAAAATTGTTGACTTGCCATTTGGAGAAACGTAATCACTTATGTTACAGCCTGGCATATCTAGTTTCATATCAGGACTTGATGTTTTTAAGACTTAGTAAAAGGTTCTTCTTACAGGTGGCATTCACTTTATGTTCAATTATAATGCTAGAAATCTGCACAAATTGTCTGAAACCTTAAACAAATTGCTGGTAACCCAGCAGATTTTTTTTTATCGAGCAAATGATGAGATCAAGAAGGTTGTAACCAGTCCAGAGTTTGCATGCTTAAACAAATACTGCTGGATTATATTGGTCTAAAAATCAAAGTCTGATGGACTAAAATATCTCTCTATTTGGGTGTGGAGACACAGAAAAGAGTTATGCTTATATGCTAAACCTTTTAGATCAGACAAAGACAAAGTGAAACCTTTTTGGTACATTTATCACTATTTGTGATAAATGGCCTTGTTTGGGCTGTATTATTTATTTCATAAAACATAGGTAGGACTGATGTGGTATAGAGCAGATGGTTGTTTTGGATCTGCTGGATCTCTTTGGCAGATTTATAGATGAGTGGTTCTACCAATTGCGCTCACCTGGTGGGGAACAACATTTTATGTCACCTGATTTAACTGTGGCATGGAATATTTCATTGTTAAAGGGTGGGGAAGAACTTGCTTACAAGGTACAAGTTAATGTTTCCTATACAAGTAATTAGTTAGTTGTGTTTTGATTTAAAGCTTTCGCGACTGCAGTGATTCATATTCTTAGCTCTTTCGGTAAAGTCACGTTGAAGGGAAACAATAAAATAATAAAATATATATAAAACAATAAAAATTCTCACGACGTTTCGACCATAACACAAACGGTCGTCGTTGTTTATATACCCGCTGATGACGACCGTTTGTGTTATGGTCGAAACTTCGTGATAATTTTTATTGTTTTATATATATTTTATTGTTTCCCTTCAACGTGACTTTATCGAAAGAGCTAAGAATATATAGTTAGTTGTGGTTTACGTTATGGATTTCGGGTAATCACAAACTTTATTGGTGATACATTTTCAGGCCCAAATTGGACCTTGAATGCCCTGTTCATGTTTATTGACAAATTATTAATGGCATGTGAAAAGCATGATTGTGTTTATGCACTGTTTGATGCAATTGATGAAAGCTTATTTCAAAACACAATTGCACACTTGTATGAAGTGTCCTCATAAGGCTCCCTGATGCGTCTATAATAAATATTTCCAACTCATTTAGAACCTGATGTTTTTGATTCGTGAATCATCTTCTTGTTCCCATCACAAAAACAGAATGTGACGAACAAGTGCTTTTTTTCGCCAGAAGTAGAATCATGGCAGATGCAGGTGCATTGCACATGACAGACTTCAGCCTGTGGATTTTTACAAAGGCACTCCAGATTTGTGACTCAATGATCAGCAGCAGAACATTTATATACGATTTAAAGCATTTTCAAATTACATGTAACTTGAAAATGTGACATGTTCCCAAACAAAACGTCACACTATCGTTGTCCTGACTAGCTGAGGCTCCAATTATTTAAATGTTTACACTCCATTTAATCACTCAAAATAATGAAGGTAATGAAACTGTACTTCAATCCAAGGTGTTCGTATAAACAACAGCATATGAATAGTATTTTACAATAAATATTTACAAACTCTTTTCAGACTAATCTATGTTTTTTCGTGTGCTTATAAGTAGGTCAACATGTTTTCCTGCCCAAACATGCATTGGTATGGCAGTTATTACATTTTGAGGCTCTATGCTAGTCGTATTTCATATTCTCATGTCAGAGGTCATTCCCTCCATAGGAGAGCTACTGTTTATTAAAGTGTAAATGTACTGTTCTAACGAGCAGAGGCAATGGTTATCTCCCATTTATAGCCATGAGCCATTGGTAGACATTTTACATTCATCTTTCGGGGTGAGTCTATCAATAGGGTAACTACCGTTGGCTTCCCTGCAAAGTGGTACATGTTTTATTTACCCCGGAGGGATGATGGACCTAAGTAAAACCCCAACGAGGATTTGGACTCTCAACCTTCTGATAGTGATCTGCTCTCTTTGCGGCTGTGCCACATGGCCAGATACTGTGTATGACTGTAATTGCTTGACACACCACTACTGGTGGAAAGCTTTAGAGAGCCGCTCAAGGATATTATGAGCTACTCTTCCAAGCTGGCTAGATGTCTTAGTAGTGACGGGAGTGCCAGCACTTTTTACCCCACTAAGCAACCTGTCGATCAAGTGTTACTGTAATACGCGTGTATTGTATGTGGATTTGCATGTGAATTTTGATGCAGGCTCATTTTTGCCTTCTTGTATTTCAGGGAAGCAGACAAGATTATTTTAACCACCTGCCAAGAGAAAGGAGCAAATGGAGCTACTTTTACTGAAGTAGCCAAACTGCTTGGTAATAAGAGCTCACAAGAGGTACAGTATTTGTGTTTTTTTATTAAACCTATCGCTTATACAGTGTGCATTTATGCAATAAATATCACACTCAAACACGTAAATAAATAATTAGGTAGTGTACACCGCCAGTTCGCATCGGATTAAACCAGCTTTGCAAGTGCATGAAGGTGATGGTCTCAGCCCAGTCACCATTATAACTGCACAAACAAGCCATATTAAATGTGGCTTTCCATTTAATTTGGCATATTACAGTTCTGATTATTTTTAGTACCTACTGTGAGAGTTATATGATATTTTTGCATAACGTGGCATGGCTCACTCCAAGTTTGAATGGTGGCATATTGGTTAGTGGACTGCACTCTCAACTCGACAGTCGAAGTTCAATTCCTGGTCATGGCTAACATCAGTGGCAAGTGATATCTGAACCGGTCATAGCTCCCTTTCAGCAATTTGTACTGACTCGCGTGGTGAAGTATAATCAAACAATCCCAATATGGCATATGGGACCCTTCATCCTGCAGAGGATTGACAAAGGGGCTTTAAATTATTACAATAGGTGTTTTTTCATAATGGACTGGAAATTTGTCTGACTTTATGTAGTGTCTGTTTTGGTCTGTATAGCCTTGGGTTAATGACAGCTGGCTCTCAAGGCAATGTTAGTAATGCCATAGTTGTTTGCTCCTGTCTGTATATTTATTTCTAGTTGGCTGTGGTGTAGTATTATGCATATAGGACATAAGCTTAGTTTTATTTGGGTGGAGAAAAAATAATTGCAATTGTATAATTCATACATTTCGTTATACCATGTTTGAAATGTTTTAAAAGTTTGTAGCAATTACAATGCTTGTATGGCATAATTTAACAGAAGTGGCAAAAGCGATGAGTTTATTAAAATAAACCCTTTACCTTATCGTTGTGTGCACAGTTCGTGGGTGTGTATGTGGGCAGTGGAGGCTTTTAGTCCTTCCAAATAATAAATCATGGGTATTTTTGCTGTAGGTAATGTGATGTTCATGTGTAGCTTAACAAACTTAAGCATACAGTTTTTAACAAACTGTGCAATGTACGTTTATATGGGCAATGATTCTTCAAACATTCTGTAGCAGTCGTATGCCTTATACATTTTATGGAACTTCATTATACATTTGACAAATTAATATTAAATGCGATGTGTATTTTCTAAGTCGATGAGTTACACCTGTTCGTTTTGCTAAAGTTATTTCAAGCAACATACCATTTACGTGTGTTATCTCACGCATCGATATATCAATCTGCTAAGGCCCCTCTTAACTCACTGACTCACTGTACACTAAATTTTGATTTAAAGCTTTCGTGACTGCAGTAATTCATATTCTTAGTTTTTTCGGTAAAGTCACGACGTGAGAATTTTTTATTGTTTTATATATATTTTGTTATTTTGTTGTTTCTCTTCAGCGTGACTTTACCGAAAAAACTAAGAATATGAATCACTGTACACTGTCACGAGATTGACTCACTTGTAGAACCTTAAGAAATGAAGCATGCGTTAATTTACGGTGTGGGGTTAGAGACAACAAATCGGTGCATTAAGGAGCAGTCTTATTATTGGGATACTTGACCACAGTATTGTAATATATTGTTTGGGTCTTTCAGTAAAGTCACGTAAGACCCAAAGAATATGAATTCCTGCAGTCACGAAAGCTTTAAATCAAGATAGTACTGTAATATATTTTACCCATTGCCATGGAAATCCATACAAATAGAAAGTATAACTTCTTGTTACCAAGAGACCATTGACATCCTTCTGTCCAAAACATGTTTTGTCAGACCACATCTGGATTACGGCTTTTATCAGTGAATGTTTACAGATCAATTCAATCCCTCCGTATGAGTCTAATAAGAATGGCATTTATTGCAATAACTGTAAGTAATTAAACTGTACCAGATGTATCAAAGTCTCTTTACCAAATGTTGACAGTGGACACGTACTTGACAAAATATAATTTGGCCATAGTCTTGACACCGCAATTGAATCCCTAGCACAGTCGACGCTCTTCTGCCATCTTGACAACAAATTTAAAATACTATCATGGTAGCCAGTGGTGGAAATTACACATTCTAATGGTGGCAACTAGGTTCATGAATCCGCAAATACAAACACCAGGTGCTCCATTTCATTCTGTTGCTCAGGGATATTCTGCCATCTAGCCATCTCGTTTAATCATCAAGAGCTTGACCACGTATAATTAAGATTTAAAACCATAATAAAACATTCACCAATAACACTGGCATTAAAAGGATATATATGTATATATAATTGGTGACAGTAAAATACAATTCAGCACGTTATTGTGTTTATACAACTAGGTCTACCTTGAAATCACTACATTAAATAAAAGATGGACCTAAAGTAAGTGTATATTTTTGTTAAAGGTTAGATACTTTGACAAAGGAGAAGCCTATATTCATAAGTAAATTGTTTATTGGCGCACCTTGTTTAACATTATGATCCATGTAACTTTACCACTGATATTCCTTTTATTGAAACACAAGTATTGAAACAGATTTGTTAAGTAACGCGTGTGCGTGTGGATGCTTAGCACATTGGCAAAAGGTGGGAACATACTGTATATCGATTGTGATTTGTCTATTGTAACCGCGTATCAGTGTTATTGTGAGTGGCTTTAGTTGACTTGTTTATAATGTTTGTTTCTACAGGTGTCCCGTCGATTTCGCGAGCTGGTCAGGTTATTTCACACGGCGGCAGCTGCAGTCTCTCCATGCCAGCACTCGGATGAGGAGGAGGAAGAGGACAGTGCAAGCAACAGCTTGGAGCCACTTTCCGACAGAGACTCAGTGGCCACAGATGATGAGATTAGCTAGCAGCATTTCGGAAGCCCCAGGTATACCCAGAGTATACACTGCCCACTAAGCAGGCAATGTATGGTATACGCTAGCAGCAATCGTGGCTGCTACATTGCAAGATGTATATTTTTAAGCGATTGATTCATGACATTCTGCATCACCTTAAGCAAGGAGGCTCGAACAATGGTAAACAGGAGCCTACAGCACGGAATGCTCCTTAGCAGGGAGCACACTGTTAATGTTAACGGATACTTTTCTAATCACACTTAACACGAATATATGGCCACATTGGCAGTAGTGTGCAAACATGAATATATTAAAACTTACCACATTTGTCAATAACACTGCCTAATAACATATATATTTATATTAGGTTGAAATCTCAGTCAATGTCCATAAGTGTCCATAATTGTTTTCTATATTAGTTTCAGGCATTGGCCCTTTTCCAGTGCAGAGGAAAGGGATATTGCCCAAAATGCTTCTTTTTTATATAGATAGTGCTCTTGACCAATGTGATTTTTTATTTATTATTAAAATGTATATAACTTGCAAAGTGAATTAGTTTGTTCAAAAATTAAAACTGAGTTTCTACCACATGGAATGGATTCCATCAAACTTCCAAATAGTGCATTTGTGGCCAAAAGCATGTTAATCTGCTGCACTATTTCGCTCTTATACTAACTAAGCGAATGTTTTTCATTCTGGTAGGCTTTTGTCATATGTGGGCAGATATCTCATATATGTTAATGGTAAAGTCATAAAGTATTCATATTCCTGAACCGGATCCTCGCCGGAAGGTATAGTTATAATAATATGATACATTTATAACACCATTGAACGACTCAATTTAGTGATATTCAGCTCACTGTTTGGTATATTTTCCTAATTGCCCTTAAGATTGCTGCTTTTACCCTTATATGTTGTGAAACAACATGTTTCAGGATGGATATTTAGTCTGATTCTCGGTGCTCCGAGACCATGACAGGAAGCTGTATAATTTCTATGCTTTTCGAAATCACTAGATATGACCGATCAAAATATGTAAGTAAATATTGACACTCTTAATTTTTTCCCTGTGTTATAGTAATTGTTCATTTCTTTTTTTCGCACCATCTTAACTGTATATTTTGTGCAATATGTTTGGGTGAATTTTGGCAATGGTGTTTTCAATCATGTTCTGTTATGGTTGCTTTTTGTTGTACATATCAAGTGCAACCCTTTAAATATTTGAAGCACCGTTATGAATTGCTTATGTTTTGAATGTTGTGTATTTACAATTTTGCTTATTAAAGATGTGTGATGGTGCCATTTAAAATTGAAGTAATGTCAAATGTAAAGTTGCCGTTTCTTTTAGCGCTGCAAAAAATATATGCCTGAGCTAAAAGTTGGTGCTAAAGGTAAAATGGGAAAAGCTGGTCGGCGTATTAACTTGAGTAAAACACTGCCCAGAGGAGGTGGTGTTAATCTTCATTTAAATCTCAAATACATGCAGCACTTTAGATTTTAGACAGCCTGGTGCTGCCGTGTTTCATACGTGTTCATGTGACTCTAAACCTTGTTTTGTAACGACCAGTAGGGGTTGTTTTTTTTTTCAAAATAAAAACTTCACTCCACGGTGATGTGCGGGGCACCATTTGGACGCTATATTTCGCAGGGAGGGATACCACGTGAACCCTTAATTTCGCGGTGCACTACAAACATCCTGGGACGTGAATTTGCGGTGTGGTACAGATGACAGAATTGTTAACTGCACAACTATATCAATCTGCAAAAAAATGCGGATTGCCGGAGGACCTTGTCACCTGATCAGAAATTCCAGGAATCTGCAAAAAATTTAGATTTTAAGAGTTAAGCAATGTTTTTTCCCTTACATCCAAATCGAACACATCGGCCATGTACCAACTATCATCACCCAGGAATGTCTGGCCTTAATTGTCGTGACGTCACTGCACATCGACCAGCCCCCCTCATTAATATTCATTAGCAGGTGACGTCCTCCAAGTGGACCCCCCCCCCCCATTATAATTACCTACTATGAGCCAAGAATGTGCCACGCTCGTGACGTCACCACGTCGACCAGCCCTCCATACTCATGAACAGCTGACGTCACTCCACATGGGGGGGGGGCGAGGCGCCTCCTCACCCCTCCTCGGCGTCAACTCACAACCCTCACTACAAAGGCAGAACCCTCACGTCACGTGATCTCCGTAACGCTGTTGAGACATCAAAGTAAAAATGACGTCATGATGAACGAGGGATTATAACCTTTAAATTAAATAGGTCTGTGACACCGCGCCCTTACGAATTGCACACGCATTAATGCAATGAATATATCACGTTGCGGTCTGCTTTTCGCTTGCAAGTTTCACCTGTTCATGATTATTATTGAGGGGGGCTGTTCAATGTGTAGTGACGTCACGAGCGTTGCACACAGACATTGGCTCATTATAGTAGGTCATAATGGGGGGGGGGGGGGGTGTCCATTTGGAGGACGTCACCTGCTCATGAATATTAATTAGGGAGGCTGGTCGATGTGGAGTGACGTCACGAGCGTTAAGGACAGACAGTAGGTATAAGCTACGTGCGCGCCGGGTCCCAACCAGTCGGTTCTAACCAGAATATTAGTTTACACTTTTATAAGGTGCAGCATACCAACAAAGGGCTTCAGAGCGCCGTACAGAAAATAAATAAAAATCACTAGCTTATCTCCACATATATAAAAGGCAAAGTTGTGATTGTGTGTCTGTTCAAAATGTTTAGCGTACTTCCCGACATGCAACAAACTTGAAATTTGCCATGTGGCTACTTTCCAGACTGTACACCATGCAAAAATTATAAAAATAAAAATAAACATTTGGGGGGGGGGGAGCTCAATAATGCATCTATTTTTTGCACGGCAAGTGAGCTGTGACGTCAAATCTGTCACGTGACCCGCGCGTGTGGAAGCGTAACGCATTGTAGTGTAGTGGTTAGCGCGCTGTGTATGTGTCTCTGTGTGTGTGAAAGCGTAACGCATTGTAGTGTAGTGGTTAGCGCGCTGTGTATGTGTGTGTGTCTGTGTGTGTGCCTGTGTGTGTAGCGTGTAACTGGAGCGTGCCACTAAGAGGTGGGGCCTTACCATCAGCCCCACCAAAACTAAGCACCTGCCTGGGTATTTTGTACCATCGGACACTCCACCCCCACAACTCCCCATCGGTGATGGGGCAGTTGTGGAGAGAGTGGAGAGTTTCCCATACCTGGGCAGTGTGCTTATGACTGGCTCCAGTTTAACAGCAGAGGTCTCACTCCGAATCAGTCGAGCGGCATTATCTTTTCATCGGTTGCGTAACGCTGTGTGGAAGCTACCTGGTCTGTCGCTCCGCACTAAGCTTCAGGTCTTCTCGGCCACGGTCATTCCCTCCCTTCTCTACGCTTGCGAAACGTGGACCCCCCTAATGGAACATCTTCGCCGGTTAGAAACATTTAGGCTGGCTTGCCTACGATCCATCCTGGGTTTAACCAGGCTGGATTGTGTGAGGAGCTCACAAATCCTTGAAAGATCTGGGCAAGGTCCCATCGGTGAGCTCCTCCGGCGGGCAAGGCTGCGTTGGCTGGGTCATGTAGCCCGCATGCCCAGCCACCGCATGCCGAAACAGCTTTTGTTCGGCCGGATCGAGGGGGCTAAACGGGCGCGGCACGGGCTAGAGAAGAGATGGAGTGATGTGGTACAGGAGGACGTGGAGCTTAGTGGACTTGCCGATGACTGGTACCAGCAGTGTCAAGATCGGCCTCTGTGGAGGAGGCTCGTGAAGGACGCTACTGGGCAGTTGGAGGCAGTCGCCCTCCAACAACAACGGAGGGCGGAGGAGCGACGCTCACAACAACGAGCAGAGCGCCGGGTGGCTAAAGCACAGTAGGTTGGCACAGTAGGGGGCACAGGTGGTGCATCAGCCAGTCATCTCAGTCAGTCGATCCGTGGCACCTGGGTCTGCCCCGTGACCTGCCAGCGGGCGTTCGACACCACGTGGCCTCAGGGTGCACATAGCCTGGCACAAGCGTCGTGGTGACGTCACCGCCACTTAGTGGCGAATGGCGGTTGTTGTGTGTGTGTGTAGCGGTTAGCGCTACGCTGCGCTATGAACCTGGCGACCCGGGTTCGATTCCCGCTCACGGCCAACACCACCGGTGACGATTATCCGAACCGGTCCCGGGCCTCCCCTAGGTTGACTCAGCCTCAAATGAGTACCTGGTGCGGTGTGTAAACATTGCCACTAGGGAGACAAAGGCGGTCGGGCGTGGTGCTGGCAACCCACCCCCTCGTGTACCGTTCCGGCCTTAATAGGTGCTCGCTAACAGCACTTGCCCCTACAGTCTGTTAAGGCTATACGGGGGATCTTTTTTGTGTCTGTGCGTGGAAGCGTAACGCATTGTGTAGTGGTTAGCGCGCCGCACTACGGAACCGAGTTCGACTCCCGCTCACGGCCACCACCGGTGACGATTATTTGAACCTGTCCTGGGCCTCCCCTAGGTCGACTCAGCCTCAAACGATTAACTGCTGTGGTTTGTGAACATCGCCACTGGGGAGACAAAGGTGGCCAGGCGTGGTGAATCCAAGTCCCGGGCGAAGCCGGGTAGTACAGCTAGTCTAACATATAGGAAACAAGTAGGTGTGTCCTTTGTAAGTAGGAGAATCTTAGCGTTCAGGTGCAGTTCTTCAGGCAGAGCATTCCAAATCTGAGCGCCAAGGACCGAAAAATCTAGAGCCCAAAAATGTGTATTGCGAAAGTGTGGCTGAGAGGAGCATGGTCGTGTGTGAGGACCTCCAACTCCTGAAAGGATTGTAAAGCTGCAATTTGTTGGTCAAATGTTGAGGCTGTTGCTGAAATAGTGCTTTGATGACGGTATTGCGTTTAAGATGACACAAAAACATGTAACAGGCGGGCCGCGAGAAAACTACTATCATGAAGAATGCTGGCGAACAGAATAGAACAACGTAGACGTCCAGAATAAACACCTTATATGATACCCAAACACTATAACCGCCTGATATTGACATTCCCCGAAGATGCTGGTGTTCCATCAACCGCATCAGAACATCATCAACAGTGCAACTCTGGCCATGCAACACAAACTCTGGACCATCTCGTAAACCACGTTCCTCTGCGCTCCTTCAACAGAGACCAGCGAAACGATGCGAACTCTCTCCCGAGGCCCTCTCGTGGCTCGCAAGACCTTGACACTGGCATTTATCCCCTGAGCATATCGCCATACACAACAATAGAAGAGAACCTCCCTCTTTCGGTCACATTTCGGTGGGAGGAGGGGGCATGATGTCACGCCTGATGTCTGTGATGCACTTGCGCACCAGCCGGGCAGACAGGAATCCAGCCAGAAAGCCAGCCACTATTTTTCGTGAGAGTCTGATCATCAAAATAAGTCGCGAAACAAAAAAAAATAGAAACCCTGCGGTACTTTAACATCCGAGGTATTCGCTCTACAGTCTCGTTGTGCATTTATGCTATCACTTGCACATTGAATGGCCTCTTTCCGTGCATCTTCACTTACTATTTTTACTTAACAACGTTGGAAAAAAAAATGGGTGAAATCACACAGCATAGAGTAAGTAGCGGGTGCGGTCAAAACAAAGGCTCGAAACCAAAACGAGCCCCAACTTTCACGGCACGGAGAGCGTTGGGGGAAACTCGCGCAGCGCCACGCAAGAGCACTGGAGCAGGCGGGAATGCACGCAAGGGTGGCAAACGACCATTTCTCCTCCACCAAATGTATAATTGAGAGGTTTCGAAATTCCATAAATGCGAATATAAACGTATATCGAATTAGTTCACCTGATTTGCTGTGTCGCGGCGAAATGGGGATGCTGAGTTGACCTGCAATTAGGGATGACAACAGCGGTTTATGTTTACGATTACATCGTAATTGGAGTTAGAGAGATGTATGCCCTTCACTTAAGGCGGATTTGGAATCGGTCGGCAGGAGGAAGACCCAACGTGTATGCACATGTGAATACGTGATTTTTGTTCAAATTGGAAAGCAAAAATCTACTGATAATAGGTTTCTCCCCTTTTTTTGTGGCAACAAAACAGGTGGTAAGATGTTAAACACCAAACTGAAACCTTTTGCAAGGAACCATGTCTGCATTCACCACAATACTTGTGGTCAGAATGCAAACAAAAAAAATACTCTGATAATATATGCATTGTCTTTGAAACTGATTGGTCCACACCAGAGACTGCTTTCTTTTGAGCTTCGTCTCAAACGGTGTTAGACCAGAGGATGACAAAAGGCATCCTCTGGTCTAACAAAAATCTAGTTTCATTAATTCAAACAGATATGAAATTATCAAAAATAAGGAATAGGTTTTTACCGTTTCTGGCAACAAAACAGGTGTTAATATGTTCAAACACCAAATAGAAGCCTTTTACAAGAAATCATTGCATTAACCATACGTACTTGTGGTGAACATGTAAACAAAACATGCTCTGATATAACATATGCATTGTCCGTGAAAATGATTGATCTACACCAGAGATAACCTTCTTTAGGGCACAGTCTCACCAGTGTAAACCAGAGAACGCCAAAAGGTTTCTGCTTGGTGTTTGGACATCTTAACACCTGTTTTATTGCCAGAAAGGCTAAAACCTATTCTTATTTTTTCATACTTTGATACTGGTAAAAAAGGTCCCAGATATTAAATTGGTGTTTCCTGTGTCCAATTAATTAATTTCAATGTAATTTTTGTAGACATGTAAAATGTGCAGTTTGAAGTATATACTTTATAGGGTGTGCACAAAGGAATATTCCGATATTAAAGAATTATAATTAGATAGCAGCTTGAGACCGACTTTTGGGGGCAAATACTGTTATTGAGCACCCGTGAAGGCCGGCAGGACACACGAAGGGGTGGGTGACCAGCACCACGCCCGGCCGCCTTTCTCTCCCTGGTGACAATGTTTACACATCGTACCAGATATTCATTTAAGGCTAAGTCAACCTTGGTGGACGCACGGGACCAGTTCAAATAATAATCGACACTGTTGCTGACCATGAGCGACAATCGAACTCGTGTTGTTGGGTTCGTAGCGCAAAGCGATAACCGCTACGCCACCGCTCCCCTAATAAAACAACAACGGTAATATATACACCAACAATGAGCTTCGTCTTTTGAGGATTGGATTGTGCGGGCATCAATCATCCCTCGAGATGGCCACATGTCTGCCAACGACAGTGCAGCAAGCACACCGGCAGAGATGCTGAAGCTTGTGGGTGAATTGTGCCCCCTAGTGGCAGGCGAAAAAAACCCGGCACAAAAGTGGCCCCTAAAATAAGTGAAAATAGTTTAAGTTTGACTGTTATATTCCCATAAGAATAGGTTTTACCCTTTCTGGCAATGAAACAGGTGTTAAGATGTTGAAACATCAAACGGAAACCTTTTACAAGGAATCATGTCTGCAATAACCACATATACTCGTGATGAACATGCAAAAAAATACATGGTCTGATAGTACTCTATATGCATTCATAAGAGGTGTTTTGGGTCAGATCGCGTAAATGTGTCTTAAAACCCACCACCACCCGACACAGCCAACTAGTAAGGGTTGTCACGTAAACAGAACGTGCCAATTCGTCACTAGTAGAGCACACCGGTGTGTTGGAGAGCCAAGCCACAACATTTACAATGTGAGTACGACGTTTCGCCAGTAATTACAACTAGCTTCATCAGGCGACAGCCAGATTTGTGGATGAAGTCTTTCTGTTTCGTTCCTTATATAGAGGCGTAGATGTGGTGACCACGCTTCTGCGCTCTTGCACAATGTGGGGTGGGGGGGGGGTTACTGAGTTAACGTACATTATGCATTCGCATTATGCGAGCCCTTTGAACTTGTCCTTCCTGTCTATTGTGTGTATTAAAATAGCCGTACCAACGGTAATCCATATTGAAGTATGCTACCCTTTTTGGCATGCATTTAAATAATGTATTATTTGATTATTCACTTCCACACAGTACTAAGAAAGTAACTGTCCGTACGATCAATTTCGATAGATTCTCTAATCAGTCTTGGCCAGTAGTAGCTAGTTTTGCACAGAACTTCAACATCATCAAAATCAATTCAGTGTCCTTGTTGGCACCCATGTTCTGCTACTGCTGGCAGTTGTATTTGGGAGAATTTAATATTTCTCTGATGTTATTTTAGTTTCATGCTGATCATTCGTCCTGTTTGCCCAGCATAACATTTTCCACACGTGCAGTTAATCCTCTACACACCTTCTGTTGATAGCTTCGGTAATACATCTTTTGTACCAGATATTGAGAGCTCGGGTAGAGCAGCTACATCATGGGACCTCCCTTGCCAGCATCAAAATATAAGAATAGGTTTTGCCCTTTCTGGCAATAAAAAAAATGTGTCAAGATCTTGATTTTAAGCTTTCGTGACTGCAGGAATCCATACTCTTTGGTTCTTTTATTTAAGTCACGTAGGTATAAAATAAAATAAATCACAACGTTTCGGGCGCAACACAAACGTCCGTCATCAGGTGGGAAAGCATGGTCTGCCTCAGCAGACCAAGCTTTCCCACCACGAAAAACGTCGTTATTTATTTTATTTTATACCTATGTGACTTTACCGACAGAACCAAAGAGTATGTGTTAAGATGTTAAAAGACCAAATTGAAACCTTTTGCAAGGAATCATGTCTGCATTAACCACACATACTTGTGGTGAACATGCAAAATAACTTTTTCGCCATATAGCATTGTGATATATAACGACTTATTGTTGGTAGCTTAGCTGATTGGAGAATATAGAGTTTATTGATAACATGAAGGTAATTTATATTTTAGTTTTTTTATTGGTTCACTATATGGTACTGTGAATAGCTCAGATGTGTAGGCCTTGACTTCAACATAGTCATTTCTGTGACCAGTCACTAGCTAATCACTCAGTTATTTCAATGCTAAATTCGCCTAGTTATTTCAATGCTAAATTCTCCTGTTTGATTTGTACTAAGTGCCTCGGTGAATGTGTATGGTCTGACTTTAACGTAGCTATTTCTGTGAGCAGTTACAAGCTAATCACTCAGCTATTTCAATGCTAAATTCTATGCTAATTCCATTGTCACGGGGTGCCTCTGCGGATGTGTATGCTTTAACTTAGCTATTTCAATGCTAAATTCTATGCTAATTCCATTGTCAAGGGGTGCCTCTGCGGATGTGTATGCTTTAACTTTTAACATAACTATTTCTGTGACCAGTCACAAGCTAATTATTCAGCCATTTCAATGCTAAATTATATGCTAATTCCTTTGTCAAGGCGCTTTGTTCCTCTCACACAGCTTAAAAGGCCGTGATCTGAACGTGGCTCTTTCACTCCAGCGCTGTCCTACCAGACAGTCTCGTCCCTTCACCTGATGAAGGCCGCTTGTGTTGTGGCCGAAACGTCGTGAGAATATTATTGTGTTATTTTATTTTATCAATTTATTATTTTATTCTCATTCTACGTGACTTTACCGAAAGAACCAAAGAAGATGGTCTGAGAGTATATGCGTTGTCTTTGAAACGGATTGGTCCACACCAGAGAGGGAGTGGAACAATTAATTCAATGGAAGTTGATGCAGTTATATAAGCCTTCGTCACAAACCAAGGCATTAATAACAAAAATCTAGAAAAACACGTTTATTATGAACATTGAGATTACATGAACGAACAATATGCAAATCAGGAGTTAGGCAGGGAGATGTGCCTTCTGAGTCGCACAGTTGGCTACATCCGGTCGAAGTTCAACATACATACATACATACGAAGATGTCCTAAAATCGGATTTGAGGCGTAAAAATGGTATGATCATTATTGAAAGAGAATTTTAATCTCTACAAATTGGCTGAGGAAGGTGTTATTATAACTGCCAAATGAGATGAACTACAGGAAGTTATCACCATCTGCCCTGACTTTACAAAGAAGGCTATAAAATCTAGTTAATCGAGGACAATAATTTTGATAAAATCGAATAATTGTTGGATGGTTGTTCTTGGAAATCACAACAGAATATGCATACATAGCCCAATTACTAAAGGTGGGTCGGGATCAAACGATGAGTTTAAAAGGCGAATGAGAGCAGATTGAAGTGTATTCTTGGTTCTTTCGGTAAAGTCACGCTGAAGGGAAACAATACCGAAAGAACCAAGAATAAAACCAAGAATATGAATCAGCGCAGTCACGAAAGCTTGAAATCAAAATTTCAGATTGAAGTGCTTTTGGATTACTGAATATGATAATGAAAAAAATACAGACCAATGTCCTTCACGAACAAAGTATTCAATCAGTGCATGTATTGCCTGCCGTGACATTTGGATCATAAAGCCATTGCAAAGAATATGGAACAAAGGCTGTAAAGTACGCAAAGCATGGAGAGAAGCAAGTTGAGCATTACATTGACATGAAGTTAATCAGGGAATGAGAATAAAATAATAACAATAACAATAAAATTCTCACGACGTTATTTTATTTTATTATTTTATTCTCATTCTACGTGACTTTACCGAAAGAACCAAAGAAGATGAATCCTTGCAGTCACGAAAGCTTTAAATCGAACGTTAATCAGGGAACAAACACAAATCAGATAAATCATATCGACAGATACGGAAAGTAAGTGGTCTTGGTAGGACACAATGCTTGATAGGATTATGGCCGATAGATGATGGTGATGTAATGATAGCCAAATAGTAGTGAATTGCTACCCCGGAGAAGAAGCGATGAGATCAGTCTAGATTTGAAGTTCGATGAGATCAGCGTATATGCAGGAGTGAGATGAATTGTGATATTGAAGAAACACATAGGATGGTGTTTGCATGGGGCGACCGTTCAGCAGTGAATCATGGTTGCTGCTGATGATGAAAGAGACAATATTTATAAACATACAATTGATAGTGCAATTCTGCATATTTGCAAAACAAAACATCCGCAGAGCACACGTGTAATTGCATGCCCAAAATTCCACTTGTTATGCGTGTTCCTCTTTACAACCGTGTCATTGACGAATGCAATTAGTTGATGTCATTTGTGCTCGCGGGCCTATGCCAATGCAGCATTATAATTTTTGTGTTTAATTTTAAAGACAGGGAAATGGAAAACAGCATTTATCATCCAAACTGGATTAAAAATATAGAAACATACAATAAGTGCTATACAACAGTACACATTACCGCAATAATGTTCGTGATTTCAGTGTACTATAATCTAAGTGTCAAAATAAAAAGTCTTAACGGCTCCTTTTGCGCCACAGCAATGGTGCGTGTTTATTTTCTATTGGCAGCCCACCGAGAGTGGTAAAACAATCGACACTTTCATGGCAGGGACAGGTCTATCCAAAGTAATGCCTGACATTACTATGGATGGTGAGGAATGCATCTTTAAAGTGAGTTTCCGTTTCTCTCTCTGAGGACATCAAATATATTGTTGGGAACAAAAAACATGTTTTTGAGCAATTCTATTCCATCGTTAATAATTCAGCAGGATATACTGTACATGTTCATATTCAGTTAATATTCAGTCCGTCAGCGTCTTAGCTTTCCAGACCGATATTATCCAGCAGCTTTCCTGAAAACACACTCTGGACTGATGTTCACCATCTGGGTCTCATCAGTCAAGTCAGGCTTTGTAAACAAATGTATTATATTGGTCTGGAAAGCCAATAGGCTAATAAACTAAAACAAACATTTATTAATACGTGTATATACTATATGGAGTTTTGCTTGTATACACGTTTACCGATATTGTTCCACAACAATGCATACTGAGTTTGTATACAGGTATACATTTTACGCGACAGGAATATGTGAAAATTGGATAGATTGGCAGCTTAAGTTGGCATAGCAGCATCTCCCTACCGTGCTTGCCACGGTAGAGAGATGCTGATATGCCAACTTAACATTCGACCTGGCCCAGTTTGGCTGTACTCTCAGAGATGTGCATTGGTTCGAGTGCTTCACGTGAGTTTTAATACAGGTTGCAGATTAAAAATGTGAGCAAAACGTCTATGACTGCAATTACAGTTCACTAAACATATTCAGCTCCTGAAATTGCCATATTTATTATATGAGCAGTTTTGCTCCACTGGCTCTTCCTCCTCGTGGTGTCGTTCCTGTGCTGGCACAAGCGTTTCAAGACCGATTCAATCGCATCGGAAACTGTATCAGGATCAGGCGCCACGGTCAAGGTTTCTGGGGTGGGACGGTTGGCCTTTTCCACGGTGCGATGGCAATCGGGATGTTCAGCAGGAGCCTCTTTGTGTGGCCTGCCTCGTGATCCGTTTTCCTCAGAGACGTCCACGTCGTTACATGCCAAGTGCCGGTTCCTTTCCCCCCCCAGAATTGTGTTAATGCTCCTTTGGCTTCTTCTTCTTGTGTTGGATCGATGGCCATCATTGCTTGCCATTTTCTGTGAGGGTGTTCCTTTACACTGCCAATTAATTGGCTTATCACCTCTAGATGCGTCTGTAAAGAGAACATGAATTTATATGCAATTTCTAAAGCTTTTGTATTTACTGGCTTAGGAAAAACTGTCACGTCCCCGCTACAGCATTGGATCAGTGATATCCAAGAAGCTACAACTCACTCCACGGAATAAAATTAGATTGTTAAAGTTGACAACGTTTTGCTGCCAACAAAGCTGTGGCATGTGAACATCTCTGAAGTTCCTAGGGGGACAATGTAAACAAATAATCGTCACCATCATCAGCCATTATCAATACACTGCTGGATAAAGGCTTCTCCAAGTCATTTCCATTTCTCATGATTCTGCAATGTAACCGTCGAAAAAAAACACTTGCACATGGGCTGATGTCATTGCTCCATCTCCTCTGTGAACATCCTCTTCGCACGTTCCATTCCTAGGGTTGCTATGGCTATGAGTGAGGCTACACGGCACTGCAGATGTGCAGTAGAGAGTATAGAGTAAGGGACTATACCTTTCATATAACCTCCCATGGGTCAAAGTAAGATTCGATTTAAGTGGCGGTCCGAGTTCAGGTATTCACATCGTTGGTGTTTCTTCTGAATTGCTTAACAGTGTAACGGTGTAGGGATTTCGGCTCGGAATGTCTATTTGTGCAAATACTTTTATTTTCTTCATAATTATAACTCCAGTGTCACAGTGGAGTCTTCTCGCTTTCGGCTACAATATCAGCAATGTGATTACACATGTACAGCCCTTTGTCCATCCTCTGCTGAATAAAGCCCTATTGTATCACACTGCTCAGTGAAAGTGGGGATAAGAAGATTCATGAGCATAGACGGTATAGTACAAATATTGATTTTCCTGCACCACCCTCTGCTGACCATCAGATTAAAAAGTAACTATTTTATTGGATAGTTTCAGATTTACTGCAGTGCCAAAACATGAATCCTAAATAAGGGAATCTCAAATTTTGTCAATAATGAAAACATCCTTACAGTATACTTTTAAATTTTGATTTAAAGCTTTCGTGACTGCAGGGATTCATATTCTTGGTTCTTTCGGTAAAGTCACGTAGAAGGGAAACAATACAATAATATTTTTTTAAATGTATTTTTTTGTTTTATATTTTTATTATTTTGTTTCCCGTGACTCTATCGAAAGAACCAAGAATAAGTATACTTTTAGTTAGTTATTTTACAGACAGGCTTATAAATTACATCAAATGCTTGGCACACACATACACTTCTAAATATGGAATATACGGTACATACCTGACGGAAATTCATTGCATCTTTGCTTCCTTTCCCACCCTTTGTTGTGCTTTCTTCCATATTTAAATTGAGCCGTGGAATTTGAGCAATGGCTGGAACTCCACTGCTTGGAAACATTGTCCACAAAATCAGTCTTCTTGGGTGTTTTTCTGCAGCAAACAGATTCATCTTTTCGTAGCGTTTTGGCTGCATTTGCACTCAACGAATATTTGTAAATGCAGGCATCGATGGCTTCAAGAACTGAGTCATTGGAAGGGCCATTCTTACTCCACCTCAAAGTGTTCGTGGCTCTAACATGGGGTTTATCTCCAGAGTACTCAGATGTTTTGGAAGATTGAGCATGCATGTGCTGTGCATTAGAGACAATTCCGGGCAAAGTCTTGGGGCTTTTGCGACACTTTTCCCCAACACTGTTCCCTTTATGCTGCCACAAAACACTGTGGTTTAAGTGGCGCTCACGAGGGAATGCACCTTCAGGAGGCCTGCCCACTGGAAAGCACTGGCCCATGAGACATTGTGCATCTCTGGCTTTGCTGAACTCCGCCAGGTTTTGCCCTTGCTTATGCTTGTGTGTTGAAGGCGGTTTGGGCAGCTTGCTGTCTGTGCTGACACTGCTACAACTCTTATAACTCCGACAATGGCTGCTCGCAGTTGCTTGATGGCACTGCTGGATTTGTACATTTTGCAATGTAGATTTCACAGTGGTTGCCTGATGATGAAGGTCCTTCCCAATAGGGTCAGGGAAGGGATGTGAAAAAACAATTGGTGAATATTTGGGTGTAAATAGCTGTCCGTCACATCCAGGGCCTCGTGTGCTGGGCATGTACCGTGATGACTGCAGACGAAAATCAACATTGCTGTAATAACCAGCGTCATAGGAGCTGATGGTTGATGAACTCGAAACACTGCTCTGAGAATTCCTGAGCTGCTGAAACTCAACGCTGTTTTCCTGGTCCACTGTCCTTGCTGCACAATCCACAGGCGCAGGTGAAAGACAAATGGTCATAAAATTCAGCTTAAACATGCTTGGCAGAACATCTGCAGGAATACACGAGTGCACTTTGTGAGATATCTCAAACTTGGTGAACTTCACCAACAAGCCTCTGAGATCAGTACGGAAATCTGGGACTCTTTGGGAGAGGTGACGAAGGTGATCGTCGTTCCTCTTTTGCTTCTTCGTCTTTGGCTGCGAGCCCGTCGTGCGAATCGTGCGAGGGTGTTCCACGTTGTGTGCGGGAACCCGCTTCACGTCGGGGCAGACGACAGGAGCAGAGTGCGCCTGCTGCTCCGGGCTCCTCTTATTCACACCTCTCCTGCGTTCGATGCGGCCCGGTAAGCCGTTGTTGTCGGCGCTTACCCCACCGTCGCTTGAGGCCACGCTTCCACGGCACGTCGAGGTGACGGCCGCCTCCCTCACCATGGCAACACCGGACCTCGGCATGCACCGCCTGTGGGGTGACGTCCCGATGTGTCTTGGAAACCTTTCACCTCGTTTTTCCATCGCAGGTTTGGCCAAGTCCCACGCACCACTGGTAGCTGATGACACGTCCTTCGGTGTCACCGAATCACTTGGAATCGGTATGCCTCCCATGTATTCCGCCGACAAGCACACGCGGCTGTCGGAAAGTGCCCTTCCCAAGTCTTTTTTTGCTTTAGTTGTGTGGGAATTGTCAACGCATGCAGACGTGCAATCTTTTCGTTTATGTCCTCTCTTCTTGCCGATGTAAAGTGTGCCTTTTTTGCTTACATTTAACTGAAAATACATTTTTGAGTCAATAACTGTTGACGATGTTGAACCAAGCAACTGTGTTTGCATTTCTCCAGGATAAGCGGCAGTGGTATTGCTCAAAATCTGGCTCAACGCACGTTTTCTTTTCATGGATTTCATTTTGTTGATGTTTCCAATTGATTCTCTATCCGAAAGCGCCCTCAAATATGGTTCTCTCTCTTTTTCCAAAGCTGCGAAGCCTCTTTTCTGAAGAGGTGCAGCCCTTTCAGCATCCAAACTGCGTTCCTCAAAACGTCCCTTTCTGTCACATTTTGACACTGGCCGGGAGACTCTGTAGCCTGTGTGACATGAGCTGGAGTGGTGAGGAGTGGCATTAGCACTGCGGATGGCACACGCAGGAGACGGAATTGTGTTTTTTGCAAGTGTTTGGTTTCTTTTGTTTGAGTTGCCTCTTTCCTTTACAGTAAATGAAGAGCTTTTACACGCGTTCACAGATGGATTGGTTCGTAAAAAGAGGTGATTTGATTTTGGTTTCCTGTTCATCGATGAAATAACAGCTTCTTTCAGTGAGCCAGTGACGACGGGATTCTCAACCGAAGTTGTGTTTTCTTCCGTTTGCGTGTAGCATTTTCTCTTTTCAGGCGACACACTGTTCATGTCAAAAGAAGTGTTCACGCCTCTGTTTGTAGCCGCTGGAAACGCAGAACAATCACTCACATCATTCTGCAACACAGTGCTATTTGAGTGTTTATTTCGCCTTGGCAGTTTGTGCACTCCTGTTACACACTTGCTTGAACCAGTAGGTGAATTGACCGATGATGGGTACTTTGTATTTTGGATAACTTTACTGTCTGCAGATGTCAATGACGTTTCCAGATCATCCAGTGCCTTTGCTCTCCGTGTTACTTTTCTGTGCACAGTCACCTTACGCAGCCTGTCCTTTCTTGTTAACGCAGATGCACACTGTGACTGTGTGTAACTCGTTTGCCTTATAAGTGGACCAAAACGCTTCCAAGATCCATCCTTTGCAGAGGCCTTCAGGGCAGAATTACGTCTCGCTTCTGCTCGCCGATAAATGGGCGAGCGCGGCTTTAGTTTTGCATTTGACACCACTAGCTCCCTGTCTGTCGCATCTTGGGTGGCGGCAGGCTTGGCAAGGATGCCGCTACGCGTGTCCAATTTCGTCTGAGCATGTCTACTGGAGCCAGCATGCTCACGCTCAGCATTGATTACATCTGGAGTGAAGTTGTGGGCATAGGCTTTGCAGCCAAAATTGACAGAGGTTTTCATCTGGACTTGGCCTGCAGTTTCAGCAACCGTCTCAGAAATCTCCACCACTGGCTCAACCTCAATTGGAACAGTGGCACTGTGTGTTCCCGGAATGTCTCTTAATGCAGGGCAGTCCTGGGCTGTCATCACACAAGCTAAGAGGAGCAAACTCTCCTCTTGCCTGTGACCATCTACGCTACAGGTGTCTGAATCTACACTGTCGTCAAGGCCAAGTACGGAGCTCAGTGACGCCTTAGCGTTGTTAACAACCAATTCGCTTGAATCATCTTGTGAATGATCAACACATTGTTTTTGTAAACCTTGACAGACCGGTTCAAGACCCATAACATCCTCTTGTAGTTGACTGCACAAGGCAATGGAGGTTGTCTTTTTGGAAACTTCAAACTCATTACTGTCAATAAATGTGTTGCTCTCCACCTTATTTATTTCTTTACAAACCATCTCTCTCCTCTCAGAAACATCATGAACCAGGACATTATGTCTCTCGAAATGAGTTGCCTCCGCTGTTTCTTCTATAACAAAATCACCAGATTGTTTGCTCTCACAAGCATGCTGATTATTTTCTTCGATGCAGAATGACATGGAATCTGCCTCCGGGATCTTTGATTTGGATTGCAGAGGCATGTGATGGAAGGCGCTGAGTGACACATCTACAGACATGGCTTTATCGCTTCTGTCCAAGCTGCTCAGCACCTCACGACTTATTATCTGTTGTTGACGGTGCTGAGTTTAAATGTCATACGCTAGTTGCTTCCAATACACTGGAATCTTTTGTGATGCCTAGGGTTTAGGAGGCATGCCTCTCACACCATTGCTTCTTTTCTCTTCCCTCTTTAAAAATCCAGCAGTGACTGAATCCTTTCTCTCCAATGAATGATGGCCGTGACATTTTTCTTTTCACATCAGCTCTGACCCTGTGCACTGAGCATTTGGGAATGGGCAACAGAAATAAACACATCGTCAGGAATGAGCACATTTTCTCATGGACTTAAAAAAAAAACGCAACTCTTTTATTTCGACAAAGTGTGCCTTACAAATTCACAATGGAAATTCCAAGCAGCATCAAGACACGTTTTGTTTATGTGATGATTGATTAGTTGACCCTAAACGTTCACAAGTTCACCAGAGCCTGCAAGGGCTCGCAAGTGTACATTGTTACGTGTGCTTGGATATCGCTAAAACACTCGGGGGGGGGAGGGGGAGGGGTTCACATTGGTAGGCGCTAATGGCCTCGATTGTCCATTGGACATTGACGTCAAAAATCAAAGCAAGCTTTGGTGCTCCTCATTTTCCTTCCGATATTAGGAAGCCACTGGAGCTGTGCACTTTGAAATCTAGATTGAAAACGAATTTCTTTAGAGCTACTTTTTACGTTTCGTTTGTCGTCCTTCCCCCCGCACCTCCGATTAGCACGGTTGGCTATGTACGGTGCACACAAAAATTCAACATACATACGTTAAGTTTATTGAAAGAGATGGAGTTAGGAAATAATGGCAATTTGGTGTTTCCAAGCAAGTTATTTTTTTTACAAAATGAACAACTAATTATTAAAACGATGCACCGCAGTTGAGCGACAGGTCGTACGTTATGGGGTGAAGTGTGGATATTCCTAGCCCTTTCAAGAAGAGTAGGCCAAAATAAACTGGAGTGGAGGCTCTTCCGCCAGTAGTTACTTGAGCAAGCAATTGCATGGCTGCACCTTTAATGTATTGCTTTGATAAATACGTTACATGTTGTTAATCAAAACCAAACAACAGGGCTTCCTTCCTCTGTCTATAGTGCCCTTGTAAATACAGTGCAAATACCGTGCAAAGATGATGCATGCAGAGGAAGTAGAAATGGATGGATTAATCAGAGCTGAATCTGGAACCTGCCCTGTGCTGGGTTATGAGGAAAAATTGATTGGGAATGCTGTTCTGATCAATGAGTTTAAACGTTTACATGCATAAGCATAGCATTTAACGCAGGCTCTTCAGAAAATCTAAATTAAATTTAAGTACTGTACTTTGAGTGTGGTGCCTAAAACCACAATATCTGTGAGGAGAGTAATCTGGGTCATTTTCATACGATAATGTAGGTTCGTGTATATAAAATATCTGTGATTTTCATCCGATCTAATCCTAATTTCCATGGATTCGCCAAATCAGTATTGTGATCTGATCCCGAGTGATTGGGATTGTATGTAAATTATTTTGTTAAAACGCAGTGCATGAATAAAGTAATGCATGAACAATGTTCATGCATTGTTTGTTACACGTGGTAGAAAACTGGAATAGCTGGAGAAAACCTACACATGGGAAACAGCGCTCAGGCATCCACAAGAAAGATATAATAATAAAACATCCCACTTGCTGTGCTGTCTTCTGGCCACGTCACATCCCAATGAGTTTGGGAGCTTCAAAAATCACTGTGCAATCCACAAAGACCTGTTTCCAAAGCACTGTTACACAAGCCATGCCACCGGATTAAAGCGGGGTTAAACGATGCATCAATCCATCGACGACTATCAATTGCTAAGGGTCATGATACATTCGATCGATCACATTTTAAAGAATCTATATTTTCTATGTGTTTGAAAACTATATGTAAATTATATGATGTTACACTAATGGAGGGAATAAGCCCTTACAGAATATGATAAGAACGATACAATGAGACGGTATAGTTGAATCACAGCCTTCGATGGTGACATGATGAGTTGTGAGAACTCATCTTGATTTTTATACATAATTCTTAAGCATATGAATCAAGTTCATAAAATAGATTGATGCACTTTGCTTGTCAGTTGTACCGATGCGTGTACAAAATATAAATGTCTAGGGAAAAAAAACTGCATCACTGCTGACTCAGCAAGGGAGAGCGCACCGTTCACTATTTACTTATCAGAAGTGAATTTGTTTATTTTACCGTAATTTGTTGTATTTAACAGCCTGCATAATTATTATTACAATTTAATGGTTTTCCTTTACACTTACTTAATTGCATAGACGACTGCATTTAATATGACCTAGCAAATTCAGTGTTATCAAATATTAATTTTGATCACATGCAGTGACGTTCATTGCCATCCAATTATACAAACCCCAGTCCGCATGTTACGTCGAAAATTGGGTAAATTCCAATAACGACAGTACACCCCTCCTGCTAATTACTGACCTTTGAAACCGCAGTGACATCATACATTTGTACACGTTGACTGGGAACAAAATGTTTGGACTCATCGCCTGTTTGCAAAAAAACGAGTGATTTGCTTCCTGCTGTGACGTTGCAATAGCCTAATAAGACGGTGACTAGCTATGACTGGTGACTATCATGGCTCCGCTGGCCCTGATGAAGTATCACTCACCGCGTCAACTGCAAACACTGCTGTTGCCAGTGCCTTCTGGTAAATCGAAGCACAATGTGAAACCCGCAACCTGACAGCACAATAGATACGTCGTCAGAAAATTCACTTTCTGAACATTCAAACAATATTCGATGCCCATTTAGTGTGTGTGCATTCCTTAGGATGTTGATTTACAAATGTAAAATTATATTCTTCATTGAACTTCCTCTTAATGGTAGATCATAGATGGCATGTGACGTACCGAGTATGCATAACACATGGGTAAAATAAAGACCTGTCTGTTCATTCGTTGTATAATCCAGTCTCAAATATACCATGATTGACTTTAAGCAACATAAATTGTACAGGTACGGTACTCAAAACACAAATAATTTACCTCCCTAGATGTATTTTTCCCGAAAAAACCGTAACATTTTTGCAAGAATACATGGACATCCATGAGTACCAAAGTTAAATTCTATATTGGGGCAATTTAAGTGACTTCGTGACATAGTTACGTTGCCAAAGAGTACGGCATCAATAGATGTGCACTTGTGGGCATATTTTGGTGAGCAATCTTGCACATTAACAAGTTTAGTGCATTGCATCACACCGAATTTTTTTAAGGATAAGAAAATGCAGAGAAAACTTTAACGAACCTTCACGCAAATTCAAAGCATTTTAGAAAATTCCGTAATCCACCGTAAACTTTAAAAAGTCAAAGTGATTTCCTGCCCATATAAGTATTGAGGCAGTCAACCAATCGAGTGTTCACAGCTCTGCCAGTGGTGGATTCCATGGCGGTGGCGAGGCTATTCATAGTTTGTTTAACTACTAAGCTTTTGCAAAGCTATATTATCCGTAATGAAGGGGGGTTTTTTGGGTTATATCGCATAAATATAAATGTGTCATTAAACCTACCGCCACCTTGGCACAGTCACCAGCGAAATGTCTAAACTCGAATTGTAAATGTTGTGGATTTATTGTCCAACACACCGGTGTACCGAAGTAATAACTATTTATTACTATTCATAGTTTACTTCCCCACAGAGTAGCAGTGTACTCGTTTTATCGACACCAGAAGGATGATGGACTGAGTCGACCCCCAACCAGGATTTGAATGTGTAACCTTCTTAGCCACTTAGCCGGATTCGATAAACATGCAAACAAAGTGTTTAATGTTCCTTCACAGCAATATAAAGTATTATACCCAATTCCATTATCCACCCTAGACTACCAAACCTAGATACGTTTAAAAACAAGCTCCTTTAACCCATAATGAAAGAATGGTACTGAGGTTTTTTTTTGCAATCATATTCTCCACACATAGGGATCCCCGATGAGATACAGTATAGTTGATTATCCATGTTCGAAACCAAATAAAGGATGCCCCGTCGAAAAAAATAACATTTCGCAGAATCATCGTCATTCTGTCACATCCATGCAACCGGTAGGTAACTGAACTATTTTTTTTTTACCACTCACTTGGTTGGTGGCCTGATCTGAATGAGATGAAATGTGTTAGTTCCACACCTCGACTACTTTGTCCATAATTGTCTGTTATCCATTGATTTGAGGAGAAGAATCGACCCACAGATAAAAAAAAATCCACTGTAGATGGTTTGAGAGCCCACATATTAAAGACATTTGATATAACGGCTGTGAATAATACCGCCATGCATCTGTACAAAGACAAATGTAACGTGTAGGTAATGTCTTGCGCATGCCACTGTTGGCAGAAGGGCCTTGATCGAGGGAGCTCCAAAGAGTCCCTACTCATGGTATTTTAGCCCACTCTTCCACGGTGCACTGGCCAGATATATTTAAAGAGATGGGGCTATCCACACCTTACCCCGCCACACACAACCTGTGGTGGCAAACCTATTGGTTGTGCTGCTGGGCGATTTCCAACAACCACTTCATGAGATCGAGCTTGTGACCTCTGATTTGCGAGTCCACTATGTAAACCGTTACGCCACGGCACCATCTCGAACTTATGTCCGCGATTGTATGAAAAGTTCGACAAAAGTTACATTTACAGCACTCGACAGCTCAGAAAACACACACATAGTATGCCTCTAAATTATCATCTGGCCACCTTCAAGTTTACAATACGACATGAAACACAGATTGCTGTATAATACCACAAAAAGTTTTCGCTGTTATTGTGCATAGATAAATCGACTGAAAAGATGTAGCAATGGGATGCGTAACTAGTAAGAGTCTACTTCTCTATGTTGTTAATATTGTAATATAACTCCTGCTATTGTTTTGTTAAACATTTTTACATTGCTGCAAATGTGACAGTGGTAAATAGTGACTACACATCCGCTTTGTGTTACAGTGCACATTATTTGTATTGTATTTTAAGAAGCACATTAAACTGATAAGGTCATTACTTCAGTGCCTGTAACGGTGTGGATATGATCCACTTAACACATTTTCACGAAAAGAAGAACACTAGGCCAATGCTGAAATCATCCTTTGGTTCCTAAAATCAGTCTTGCACTGACCACATTTGCAGACCATACCACACACTATTTTAATTGTCCATGTTACAGTATTCAATTTCAAATTAGCATCAAAGAGCCATAGAGCACAATTGCCTCTCAATGGTAACACATGCATAAACCTAAAAAAATAAGCTTACCACTTGTCTCAATCAACTGCAAAGGAAACCACACACAAACAAACTCACTGCTGAACTTACTGCACAAACGTCACCACTTTCCAAAGTGGCTGAAACGTCTTCCGGGCAGTGAATACACCTCGATCTGTTGTTACAACAGAGAGGGCATGAATGAATACGTGTCTGCCTCTCTTTCTCCTCTGGGCACACAGCGAACGAATAAGTCAATAGCAGCAGCAAAACACCTTAAAACTATCCCTACCCCCTCTTTCTGCCATCTCAATCCCACACCCACACAAACAGAGCCAATCACGACAAAGGCAGCACGCCACCCCGGCTGCCAAACAGACAGACATCAGCGATTCCCCAAAGCAACACAAACACCCCACACAGCTAGGCAACACGTCCACAGCACACATCATTGAGGCCACAGCACATGTCCCTGAAGCGTTTGGATCTGCTAAATGAGATCGGCCTCTGGTGGGTCAGTCTGTGGCGGCGGCGGCGGCAGTACAGAACAGTCACAATCCTGCTGTTAAGAGAACCTGGCAGTGCTTTACTTCGCAATGTTTCAATTGTGCTGAATTCGCACTACTAATACTATTAAAACTAAAACCTATGAACATTTATTTTATATTTTACTAGATAAGGCCCACTGAACTATATATATATATCTTTTTCAGAAGCGATCTGGCCATATGATAGCTCAGTGAAGGTGATTATCATGTGGACATTTAAAGTAGCCAATTACTCTACCCAAGTGTTAATTACTTATTTTCATGGGGGGGGGGGGGGCACTTTCGCCAATAAGACATCAGTGTGAGGGGCACCACACATTTTAAACCGTTGGGTTTGACAGCAGCACGATGGGAGTGTTTTCACATGTTGTGTATTATCAGGGGCATCTGTGGGGGCTGATGCCCCCCCCCACTCCCCATTAGGTGGGGGCCGATCCCCCCCTCCCTCACCACGAGCGGGGGGGGGGCGCCACTTCTAATTGGTGGGGGCTGATGCCCTCCCCCCCCAATCACCTCCTCCCCCACTCGCGTGTCCTAACCGCGTGGATTACGTAATTGTTTGACTCGCCGCTGTGTGGGGTTTAATTAATAATTTCCACTAAGCCGTTGTGTCAACAAGGCGAACGCTCCCGCTCGGTCTGGATATTAATAAATTAATCGCCCCCACCCGTGGTGGGTGAGGGGGAGTTCGGCCCCCCAGCCGTTGATATTTTAATATGCGCGCACGTCACACCCACACTGATTTATAGTCGCCCACACACCGTCGTACGCCGATCGCTGTCCCACCGCTCTTCACACGCACGCATGCACCACGCGTCACAACGTCAGTCTGTGCTAAGATTTATTTCCCGGAGCGAATAGGGGACCCCCTGTTCATGGCCCCCTCCAGCCAGCACCCTTCGGACAGCGCCTAACCTCCTATCACCTGGCCGTCGCAGAGTGCGTCTATCCTCCAGCTCGAGCTGACTGCGAGCTGGGCTGAATTGGCCCCCTCCCCCCGTACTGACTCACCTCTTCAGCTGCCCGATGGGGGCTGGGGAAGATGCCCGCCTTGGGGACTTTTTCTGGCCGATCGTTTCCAGCTGCACCCTGCAGGCATCCCACGGACGCTGAGGGCGGCTGATATTCTCTCTCCCACTCCAGAAGAACTCTGATCCAATCCGCCCCCTCCGGCCCCATTATGTCCCCAAAGCCCCCCCGGGTTATATGACGTCATTCTGAGCATCCAATCGATTCCTCTTTGTGGACATTTTGAGCGCTCTGGCCGTTGGGGGGGGGGGGGGGTCGCGTCACCCCCCCCCCTTCCCATTGTCTCTGTATCTGCGTTCCTCGCCGTTGACTCACCGATAATCCCCTCGCTCCCTCCAACTTTAATCAACTCTTATCTGTCTAGGGGCTTTTCCCTCTCACCTCACTGTTTATCTTGCCACTGGGTGCTGGCTGAAGGTCCCATCCCCCCGTGCTGTGTATCCTTCATCGCGGCCGGCCTGTAAAGCTCTATGCCCCCTTTTTTTTTGGGGGGGGGGGCGCCATGTAATCTAGTCTGGGGGGCTCAGCCAATTTCCTGGTCCGGGGAAACCGTGGAACGTCCCTGCTAGTGGGGTCCTCGGGTGAAAACCCATCGTACCCATCGTACCAGGTACATGCGAGTGTTTAGTGGGGCGTGCGTTCATTGGGGGGGGGGGGGTGCGAGGAGAGGGTAGCGGTGGCACCACACAGCACGCCAGGGGCCACTCTAAAGGCAATGAAACACACTGCTCTAAACTGTTGTTTCTAAATGTTGAGAAAAATCCACGTGACCACGGGAAGAGAACATGCAAACTCCTGTATACCAGGCGAGGTAGTTAACATCTCGCCACCGTGGCACTCCAATTCGTAATGTTCTGCCATTTATCAATCTGCTGCTTGTATGAGGGCCTCTCCATGCCGTGTTGGTTGTAGGGGTTTCTGTGACCAAACGGCATGGTCAAACGACCAATTCATCATGCCCGTCGGTGCCGTATGGTCAAACAAACCCCCAAAACCAACACGGCATACATTACAGTAAGCCCTCGTAACTGATCCAGCATTGGGAGACCTTCGTCCAGGAGTGAATGTGGCATGAAGGCCAGCACGGGTTGGCGAAGATGTCCAGAACCAGTGAAGGTAACCCTTGCCCCTGCCATTAGCTGTGGCTGTGAATCAATTGCAGTTTGCTAGGTTTATTGCACAGTGTGCAAACCATTGTGTCACCACTCTACAAAGGAGAACTACATTACAGTACCGCAAATTCACTAAAATAGGAGGGATACATTGCAGGACTGTACGCAAATGCTACACTTCTCGCAATGTATTTCTCCAGAAGCCATGACCCACCAGCAGTTATTTCAGTGTCGACCATTGCGAAAGTCATACATTTATTACTGTATGTTAGAAGTTAATACTGTATGTTACTGCAAGATGTATGACAACACTATTGGCAAGTCCCCGTTTAATACCGTTGAAAGTGGGTCACTGTTACAAAATGAGAAATTGGCTTATATAGTGCAGTTTCTGTTGCCTGCAAATTATGTTCTGCAAGCCCATTTTACTTCACTTTAGGTAAAAGGAGCTCTATTGAGATTGATACAAGAATTATACATTATTTCATATTTAATTTTAACAAACATTGCAATAAACAGACGTAACAATTACCTGCCTTGATGTATAAATTGCATAACATATGCTCTTTACATAGTACTCATTTCATTGTACAAAATATTGTTTCTCTGCTACAAATATATAACAAAATAATTTAAGTGAATAAACTAATGAGACCATCAGATCATCTAAAACTTCATACACCTTCTCTGACAACAGTGACACGTGGATTACTGATTTGGAATCCCATGGTCCCTTGTGAGTCTTATACCTTTTGCATATGGCAATTCAATTGACAAGAAAATCCTTTGTGCTAAATCCTTACATGTGACCCCTGTCACAGCAGCTGTGTACTGTATTATCGATTAATTGAAGCCGCAAACAGTCACATTGTTGACACATTTAATGAAGTTGCATATTATAGGTGTGGGTAGACAACTGTTTATCAATGTCAGCTGGGTTAACAGGCAGAAGGGAAGGACAGCTGAAAAAACATGTGCCGTACCCAAGTCAAATAAATATTGGCTGAACATTGCTAAATGCAAGATGGTGACAACGTATTGCCAAAATGTAAATGTCTGTTACGTGCATACAAGTGTCATGCTTGGCAAGGTTTCTAAAAAATTAAAGGGTTTTGCTACAATCGTGGGGATTCTGCATGGTATAATGGCTAGCACATGGACCTGCGATCCAAGGATCGCTGGATCGTAATCCTGGCATAACAGTTGAATTTATTGGCAAGTTTATGTTGTGAAAATGGTTGTGTGTGGTGGGGTAAAGCGTTGGCATTCCCTCATTTTCCAAGACGTCTCGCCAGCATGGAAAAAAGTTGGCCAAAAACACCTTAAGATGGGCTCTCTAGCGCTCCCTTTATTGGAGGCCAACAGTGGTGTGGACAAGCAATCTCAAGGCCAACAGTGGACAAGCAATTTCAAGGCCAACAGTGGACAAGAAATCTCTAGGCCAACAGAGGACAAGCAATTTCAAGGCTGCACCTTTATCGTACCACAATAACCGTGGTGGTGTGCATAATCAAGCAGAAGTTTACACTCATTAATGTGAAAAATTAAAAAACAACCAAAAATATCTGCATACTTTAAACTGTACCAGTAAATGCATTGTTTACATTTTACGGTCCATTCCTTACATTGGATTAAAGAAGCATACTGTAAATTTTTATTTAAAGCTTTCGTGACTGCAGGGATTCATATTCTTCGTTCTTTCGGTAAAGTCACGTTGAAGGGAAACAATAAAATAATAACGTGACTTTACCGAAAGAACCAAGAATATACATACTGTAAATGTCAACAAGAATTGAACGTTCCTGGTGATGGGCAGTAGCTGCTGGACTGTCAAGGTCAGGAGATGATCCAAATAAATAGCATTGATAACCAACCTCTGAATTCTTGGTTTTGTTCAGATGAGACCCGATCATGTCAGGTCCAATCAAACTCTGAAATTGATTCCAAGCTGATCTACTCTCAATCAACCACCATCATCGCCTTAATTATTAGCAGCAGCGCCCCCCATTAATAACGTAACGAATGATGGCACTGCAACCTGCCAAGGTCTGCTCATCGAGTATGCCACCTGGCTTCAGATCTTCCAACTGGCCGCCTTACCTCTGGATGCCACTCCCTTGCTCGTTTCGTTAAGCTGCCCTCCTGCAGCTTGAACACACAAGTTCCACCTATCGCTGCTTTGTTTTTTTTTTCCTGATTACATCTACAATGTTTTCCTATGTTTCATTTCATAAACTAAAAACTAAACTACAAACTAAACTATTTTTTTTATTTTACCAAGTAATGCCCACTGAGCAACCTGGCCACAAATTATAGTCCAACGAAGTGGCTTATAATCTGGAAATATATACCAACTAAAGAGTCTAAACGCATATTTCTAAATGTGGAGGAAATAACCATAGGAGCCTGAAAAAAA